AGTCGTATAAAATCTTTTTGAAACACAAAATCATATCGATTAATTAAACGATCAAAAAGATACTAGAATGATTACCATTGTTCGTATATACTGCTATACGATGAGGTTATAAATGAGAATCATTTATTCTAAGGTATTCGTAACTAAAAAACTAAATAGATGTTATCAGGCTACCTTGAAATGTAGATAATAAGAAAGCATACGCAACAGGATTCTTCTGCTGTCAGGTTTCATGGCTTAACTTGTTAAGAACCATTTGATACTTTCACAAATATAGTAAGGATGTTGCTATCATATTGATAACAATAAAACAAACACTTATTTTATCAATTTGGACCTTTTTAGCTGAATCCAGAAGATCATTCCAAATCTTGAAAAGATTCAACTTAGAGACGTCACAATGCCTTTTTCTAGTTAAAGTCTCTTGTTTTAAGATGTCTCCACGTATCTGTAGATCTGTAGATATTGAAATAAACTATATTGAAAACCCTATCGTTGGTATAGGTTTAAACATCGATAGCCCTGCATACAGGCACTACTAGTCGAAAGACTTTAGAGTAGCTTAACAGATAAGAATACCATTACATTACTTACAAATGCCAGAATATAAGGTACTTGCATGTGGTTCTAATGGTAGCTTTCAGTTAGGTATCTCCAACGATGAAGATCAGGATACTCTTCAGACAGTGATATTTCGCCATGAAGATGGTTCGAAGACCAATTATATTGATTCAAAACCGATTAAAATAAGTTCAGGTGGGAACCATACATTTATTTTAACGAATACTGGAATACTATATAGTGCTGGTGATAATACTTACGGTCAGTGTGCACATCCTGTTAATTCTGAATCGTCGCATATTCTTGAATTCACGGTTGTAGGTGGTAATAATACTTGGAAAGATGTTAGCTGTGGATGGGAGTTTTCTATTCTAATGAATGATTCAGATGAAATATATGTGTGTGGCATAGGCATGAAGGGAGAATTGGGCCTTGGAACTAATACAAGGAGAAGTGAGCTCGTGAAGACATCTTTCGAACTCCCAAGTAGAATTGTTGATCTCAAGTCCTCCATAAACCACACGATTATAAAATTAGCCAATGGTGAACTATACGGATGGGGAAACTGCAGAAAGGGACAATTAGGAGAACAAGAAGCTGTAGTTGTAAATAATAAGTCGAAGACACGTTCAATCGTCTGGGAGCCTGAACCACTACTGTTTGGCGAAATAGATTTGCAAGCATATGATCTTGGTCGGGACTGTACAGTCATATTAAACAGAAATCATCAAATCAACATCTATGGTAAAGGAGCCGAGTCTTATGATTGTGATGACAACGTTATAGATTTAAAATCCATGTGGTCGTCCAATCATTATTTGGTTGAAGACCAAAACCATTTACGAACCATAAAATCAAGGGGCAACAACAGTCACGGCCAGCTATTTCCAAACATCTCAGTAGATCTTGCGAAGTACGAGATTGGAAGTGAACATGGACTCGTACTAACCAAGCAGAATACGGTGTACGCTTGGGGATGGGGCGAGCACGGTAATTGTGGAATTCATACGGCTTCCGTAAACGAGAATAACTTAGAAGAAAAGGTCACCTTCGACTACTTGAATTGTTTGTACGATGGCGACGACCGGGTTGTACTACTAGGCGCAGGATGTGCGACAAGTTGGTTAGGTTTACAGACTAAGTAGGGGGGTTATAGAGAGCTAAGGAACAGAATAAGCAATGTCACGAAGTATCTTTCCCATATTCATCTATTGCACCAGATGAAGGTCATTATGACGCATCAAATATGCTCAAAGATGGAAAATATGTTCGACGTAGTTATTATAGGATGATTGTATCGATAACTAGTCAATTGTTAATGTATTAAGCCTATGCATTAAAATCTCAGTGAAACTCTAATAGCCCATTACAAAACTGACAAGCTACCTTCTTTATCACCCACGTATTACATATAGCAAGTCAATAATCCTTTATTGAATCACGATATGATGTTACGATAGATAAAAGAATAAACTAATCGAATAGATTCAGTTTTCATAGAAGAGATTTTTGTAGACCCGATGCATTTCCGGGTAACTCGTATATCTCCGAACCAACCCTACTTAACCCGAATCATGAAGTAACTGTTGCTTGCCATAGAAGGACTAAGAAACCTATCAATAATAACTATGTTCGGAGCAGTCTGTTCAGGAAGACCAATACAATTGGCAAACCAAGTTGAGCCAACAAAATACGTGATCACAGTGCCAAATGCATCAAATCTATCCCATATTGCAATATTCCTTCTACCTCAAACAGAGTTCACCGACACCAATTTCACAGCGTTGGTGTATTTCCAATTACCAAATTCACAGGAGTTCAAGCTATTAGGGGGATTGAACCCTGCCAAGCCATCGGCTATATATAAACTTAATAATGGCATCAAAACGTCCGAATCAAGCACCCAATTGGATGATGTTGAGATGAGCGTCGATGCCGGTGGTGATACTACCGGTGATGCCACCATAAATATAGGTATTTCCATTGAACCAACCCCCCAGGCCGAGGCACTTTTAATGCAAGAACGTCAGAAACAAGCGGGTGCTTCGCAGTCGCTCGTTCCTGCTACCATTGCAAACGCACCCACTGCATTGAAGAACCCTAATGATATTGCATCCTTGGCCAACAAAATTGTCACCCACGCCTACAATTTCTTGGGCAGTTTTATTGACGAGTCGGGCAAGGTCCCCATGAAGGCCTTCAACAACTGGTGGGACAAGTTCAAAGCCAAACTAGCAAACAACCCCGGCTTCTTAGACGAGCTACAGGAGAACTAGTGCTAAATAGACAATTAATATGCATATCTACATCCGCACATATCTACAAAGAGCCGTAGTAGAGACTTAGGACTTTTTTCTGTCTATGCTTAGATATCGTAGCCATTCGGCAGTTCATCACCGATCCGGCCCCCATCCTATCTACTACAAAACTACACCAACATCACCATATGCGAAACGTCATTCCATCACTTCTGGTTCCTTCTGGTTCCTTCCTTCGTCACTTGACACCAGAACCTTCTCTTCGATATCTGGGGAACGTATATTTTTAGCCATCAACGTGATGACAAATGACAATACGGTACTAAAACATTAGTGAGAAAAAGAAATACTTGCTTGTTTCAATCACTAATTATCAATTTTGGTGCGTGTAAAAGGCTACCCTGATGATTAATCATCACTTATTCGAGCTATTGTCACAACATATCTCGTAATATCACCCGATAGTTGCAAAACATCATTAGTACCCCTAGGGTGATGAGGTCCGATATGGTTATGAGGCCCGCGGCATCATCTCAGAAAAATGCTGTGGCTTTATTTTGTAAGGCATTATAGAATTCCTTTTTGCCATAGAGTATATAAGTACATGAATTCTTAATTTTTTTCATGTTCACGTTCTAAATACGACTTTGCTAAGTAATAATAGGTATTTGACTTATTGAGCTACTATAGACTATAATTATAGATAAAAATGACTATTGAATCTACCACTAATGTTGAATACGGCTTTGGTACAAAAGCCATCCATGCTGGTGCACCAATAGACCCTACCACCGGTGCCGTTATTGAACCACTTTCGTTGTCAACTACATTTGCACAATCAGAACCATCCAAGCCGGTTGGTCTTTACGAGTACTCGAGATCTGCTAATCCTAACAGAGATAACTTTGAAGCCGCAGTTGCTGCGTTGGAAAAGGCCAAGCATGCCATCGCTTTGAGTTCGGGTTCTGCCACCACCGCTTTGATTATACAGTCTTTGCCTATGAACTCGCACATCATCTCGGGGGGAGATGTTTACGGAGGTACCCACAGATATTTCACCAAAGTTGGTGTTACTCACGGTGTTACCTCCACATTTGTTGGAAACTTGGTTGAAGACTTGGAATCGAAAATCCAGGAAAACACCAAGTTGGTGTGGTTAGAAACCCCATCGAACCCAACTTTAACCGTCACTGACATTGCCAAGGTTGCCAGTATCTTGAAGAACCACGAGGCCAAGACTGGCTCCAAAATCTTGTTGGCTGTCGACAATACCTTTTTATCTCCATACATATCCAACCCGTTGGAACACGGTGCCGACGTCGTTGTTCATTCCGTCACCAAATACATCAATGGTCACTCTGATGTGGTCATGGGTGTTTTGGCTACCAACAGCGACGAATTGCACGAACGTTTCAGATTCTTGCAGAACGCCATTGGTTCCATTCCATCTCCATTCGACTCGTGGTTGGCTCACAGAGGTTTAAAGACCTTGCACTTGAGAGTCAGACAAGCGGCCACCTCTGCTCAACAAATCGCCCAATTCTTAAGCCAGCACCCTGCTGTGTTGAAGGTCAACTACCCAGGATTGAAATCGGACCCAAACCACGAAATTGTCGTCAAGCAACACAGAGATGCCTTAGGTGGTGGTATGATCTCTTTCAGAATCAACGGTGGTGCCAAGGCTGCCTCCACCTTCACCTCTTCGACCAAGTTCTTCACCTTGGCTGAATCCTTAGGTGGTATTGAATCCTTAGTTGAGGTTCCAGCCATCATGACCCACGGTGGTATTCCAAAAGAAGAAAGAGAATCCAATGGTGTCTTCGATGACTTAGTCAGAGTTTCTGTTGGTATCGAAGATACTGATGACTTAATCGAAGATGTCAGACAAGCTTTAGAAAAAGCTGCCAAATAATCCTATCTTGCTAAATAATCAGTATGTATTAATAACGTAAAATAGATCCTAATGCAACGTATCATGACTAAATGTAGTATTATATACCTCGATCAGTTCAATTGCTGGCACTACTAGTAGAACAATTTGGAACATTTTAGTAGGCTTTTTAGCAGCTAAATCTTTTTCGCATTTTTGCTGACGTGTAGGGAACAACTTTAATTTAACTAGAAATCAGTACTTATCGGATTACTTTTTATATATATTTGTTAATAGAACAATCAAAATAGATGAAATTACTGAAAGGAGTGCTCTCGTCAATAATATTAACGTTATTGATTAAACCTATTGAATCGCTGATTGTAAATACAGACGGAGAATTAATCTGCGAACCAAATAACCCCACCGATTGTTACCCCAAAATCTTTGAACCAACTACCGAGTGGCAAACCATTAGAGAAGGACAAGATATTCCCCCAGGATTACACGTAAGGCTAAACATGGAGAATTTAGCGAGAGAGGCGAAAATTTTGGATCCATCAGAAGAAACTGAAGGGTCTAGCGAGTTGTTGGTGAATGCGGAACATAACGATAACGGTGACGATAATCACCAAATGACAAACGAAGACCAGGCGAACGAAATCCAGCAAAAGATTAAAGAGTTTAAACAAGCACAGGGAAAATCTAAAGTTTCGACAGCTGACTTGAATGATTTCCAGTCATCGGTTGACGAAGTGCAACATCATCGCGAAGGAGGTGACGCAAGCAGATTATCGATGGCCCTCGATACTTTGATTGACTTAAGTCATGATATTGAATTCGGTGTCAAATTGACGCAAGGTTCGTCTGTTTTCCGCAGTCTTGTTGATGTCAGTAAGTCCGTTCAAAATGAAGATTTACAAGAGAAAGTTTACAGAATTATGGGATCAAGCTTAAGAAACAATCCAGATGCCGTGGACAATGTATTAAAAAACCAAGATGCGACGTTTGTTGAAGGTTTGTTCGATAAGTTGAATACGGATGCATCAGATGTGATTAAGAAGCGTATTTTGGGAATAATCCATGCGCTTACGCAAAATAGCCATTTCAATGCCAAATACTTCAACTCCAATAATGCAAACTCAGCGATCGACTCGCTCATTTCGGTGTTTCCGTCGTTAGAATCACAATCCCAAACCAGATTAATGAACATTTTGGAGGACCTAAAGTTGCTTGATGGTGCGAACTCTAACGAAAAGAGGACCATTGAAGAATCGGCAGATCCAAAACGTCAATACTCACATTTCTTGCAACATCTGTTAGCTGATAGCAGTGTTGCATCGGAAGATCAATTCAAGTTGTATTTCAGCAAGTTGAGTGAAGTACATTCTCAAGACAAGTCATTGAAGCCTTCAAAAGAATTTATGGAGTGGTTATCGAAGGAAGCCGAATTGAGATCGAAAGGTAACAAAGAGAGAGACTCTTCATATACCGAAGAGGATAGGCAGTTTGATCAGGATCTCTTGAGAGCTAGACATGTCGTATTCGGCAACCCTATGGGATTACGCAAGGCATTGGCTGACGAATTATAAACTTATATAGAGTTCTACAATAAATAAAATCATATAGTTTAGGTCGCTACATGGTCACTCGTATCTGTAAAAGTCTTATTAAGGAGTATTATACAAAATCATTCAATTTTTCAATAACTAATGTTTTGTTAATCTAATCGAATAAACCCATACCCATGTCTTCATCGGATTCTTCAGCTTCTTCAGCAGCAGCTTCTTCAGCAGCTGGAGCGTCACCTGAAGCAGTAGCAGCGGCTGGAGCAGCAGCACCACCAGATGGGACAGAGGATAACTTTTCGTTACCTTCAGCGATCAATTCTTCGGCGTTCTTACCTTCGACTTCAGCTAATAATTGGGAGATCTTTTCTTCTTCAACTTCGATAGAAACGGATTCTAAAACGGACTTGATGTCAGAAGCTGATGGAGAAGCGTTACCAGCGTTGACTAATAATAAATAAGCAGCTAAGTATTTCACTAAAATATATGTTAGTATTCAAATTTCGTTTCTTGACATATAGACTCATTGGTACGGCTTATAAACTCTGTATCTCCCCACTTATTTCCTCCGTTCTCTCTTTCTTCACTTCATATCATCCACATACTACAGAATTGCCACGAAAATACGTCTTGTACAATATCGTCGTAAATCCATCACTCCATTGCATAAATGTCAAATGGGTCATAATTATTTATTTCTTCAATTCAACTCTATTTTTCCCCGATCAAAGTTTATTCCGTCCTTACTTTTTCAAGATTTCGTCTACTCTCCTCTATTCTATTTTCTGTACATACTTTTTGGTTATGTATATATAGTTAAAAGGTACCAAACTAGGTTCTAATCTTGAATTTAATGTATATGGTATTTTTCAGTCGCTATACTAACTGAAAAAATTCACGAACAATATTACACAAAGTCGTCACGGCCGAAGTCGTAGAAAACAGTCACGAAGGTCACGTGTTTATGGCCTTTCAATATGGATATCCATATTATCACTAGTAAAATATCATTATATGGTCTGATATGCATTGTATGAGTTGCTGAAAGGTATTCTTACGGCTTAGAGTTGTGACGAGGATGTGCGGTCGGTTATGGCATAGTTGATGTAATTGGGAGCAAAGGAAGCTTGCGATAGGCGAATATCAGGTTATACACAGTACCGAAGTACCACCGTTTGTCATCAATATGGAAGCTTGGATGGGACATAATTGTGTTGATAAGGATACACCGACCGGAGGATCAATTGAAACAGCTACAAACACGATGAAGACATTTCCATCCCTCTCGGAAACGCAGGAAACAGAATTGACCGAAAATTTGCTCCAATGGAGTTTGGGAAACGGGCTTACGATGTACCCGGTGAATTACAAGACTCACAGTGCTACACATGCTCCGATAACGATATTTCCCACGCCATTTGCAAAGAATGCGTTTCAGAATGCCATGGATGTGCAGAAAGGGTTCAATGAGTTGTATGCCAGCGTTGTGAGTAAGTCGAAGGAGTGGTTGTTGGAGATTTTGAAGGAATTGGCCGTTTTTGACGATGACTTCACAGGGAAGCTCTTTGAGATGTACAACAAGTCGATTGAGTCTAATGGAGGCAAGGTGAAACAGCCGCTTTCGTTGGGTATATTTCGGTCGGACTATATGCTCAATGACGTAGATGATGACCCGCAGATCAAGCAGATCGAGTTCAACACGGTAAGTATTTCGTTTGGGGGATTATCGACCAAAGTGGGTGAATTGCATAATTATTTGAACCAGAAGGGAGCATACGATGCTGATTATTCATACAAATACTACGATGACGACGAGATTCCAATTTCTGACTCTATTAACGAAGTGGCTAAGGGGCTTGCGGATGGTAATTACTATTACAACGGCAAACAAGAAAGCACTAAGACAGTAGTGTTATTTGTGGTTCAACCGGGGGAAAGAAATTGTTTCGACCAGAGACACATTGAGTATTCGTTATTGAAAAACCATGGCATTAAGTCGTATAGAGTGACATTGGAAGAAGTTGCTGAGAAAACTACTATTAATCAAGACAAGTTGTATATCAAATCAACGATGGATGAAGTTTCAGTAGTTTATTACAGATCAGGATACGCGCCTACCGACTACGAAATGGTCCCTGAGGCAACATGGAATGCTAGATTATATTTAGAAAATTCTCTTGCTATTAAATGCCCATCGTTATTAACACAATTGTCGGGAGCCAAAAAAGTGCAACAAATCTTGACGCAAAGGGGTATGGTTGAGAAATTCTTGCCAGACATATCGAAAGATGAATTAGATAAGTTGTTGTCCACGTTTGTGGCCATCTATCCGCTAGATGATTCAAAAGAAGGAACGATGGCTAAAAAATTGGCATTTGAAACCCCAGAAAAGTTCGTGTTGAAACCTCAGAGAGAAGGAGGTGGTAATAACATATACAAAGAAAGCATTCCTGAGTTTTTGAAAGATCTAGATGAAAGCAAATGGGGTGCGTACATCTTGATGGAACTTATCAATCCTCCACACCATAAAAACAAAATTATCCGCGAAGGTGAAGTCTTTCACGAAAACATTATTTCTGAATTAGGTGTTTTTGGAACTATTGTGTTTAACGAAGAGAATGGTGACGTATTAACGAATGAAAACGCAGGCTGGTTATTAAGATCGAAGTTTAGTTCCAGTAATGAGGGTGGTGTTGCCGCTGGATTCGGTTGTGTTGATAATATATATTTATATTGATTATTTAACTTCATTACTAGGTACGTGACTAGAGATTTGTTTTAGCTCTGTAGTGTACTCATTTTGAGTATCCTCCTTTGTTTTTTTTTCGTCGATATCTTCTATAGGGTATGCGTCTATATCCAATTCTTCTGCTGCTTCTATAATTTTATTTTCTGATGTCTGCTTTAATCTTTGCTCGATATCAATCACCCACAATGCAGCCCCAATTGTGTTGGTAAACATAAAGAGCACACTAAAAAGAGGAATCGTTTCAAGGAAGTTGGCGACAATACCAAACCCCATATATTGGCCTCTATTTTTTTTATAGACCTGTTTAATTTGCTTCTTGTCATAATCCTTTAATGTGAAATATCTAGCGTGTGCTCGAAGTCCGTTCGTCGGAGCCTGAATGACAACTACCATAATAGGTCCAATTACAGGAATCGAGTTGAGTAAAAACATTATGATTGCCCTGATGAAAGTAAATGGTAACACTAGCATATTTGGTAACGCCCAGATCATTCTTCCCCATCTAACCAAAAATGGTACATTGGCTACCCTGCGTAACTTGCCTATCAAAACAACGTCATCTGAACATTCTTTACATAATACAGCGTCAAATGCAACCTTTTGTATCTCTGGCATTAATAAAAAGGTAACAAGGAACGTTGACACCAATCCTGATTGTTGTAGAACAGTAAACCATGTGCTAACAAACCCAGCCGGTCCGTAAAAAACAACTGCAAAAAATGCTTGAAGTGGGTAGAACATAAGGTACATAGCCATATAAATAACCAAGGTTAAAATCAATTGTGGTATTAAGATAGTTAGATAAAAGGGCCAAATAGCAGGATGAACAAGAAAATAGAAAATCCCCTAGTCTTTGTTAATATGACCGCTTTGGTAAAGGCCCATTCATAAATCTTCACTTACGTATAATGGGTACATGTACGTCCCTGACGTTGCTAAGTTAACTGGAACTGACAATGGAGTAGTCATAATCGAGTAATTTAGATATAGTTACAATGTTTGAATAAGTATATAATCTAATATATAAAATCGCTTTAAACGCTATGAGGTTCACAAAAGGTTGCAAAAAAAATCTTTCATCGATTTGAACAAATTACAAATTAGTATGAACGCTTTACAATCATAATGGATTCAGAGTCTTCTTTTCAATAGTGTCTATTGGTCTTTATATTATGTCTTGTTAATACTTTCATTCTAATGTGCTTGAACTGACTTCAAGGACGGAAAAAGAGCTGAATGCTATATTAATATGGCAAAAAATAAGTGGACGAGTCCGGAGTCGAACCGGAGACCTCTCCCATGCTAAGGGAGCGCGCTACCAACTACGCCACACGCCCTGTGTGATTTGAGAGAAATGGTCCCTAGCAGGATCGAACTGCTGATCTTGGCGTTATTAGCACCACGCCTTAACCAACTGGGCCAAGGGACCGAATTCTTACGACTCATTATTTTGCAAGTATTGTAGTGGTGTCAAGAAGTAAACAAAGACATTAGAGAGCTAGTTAGCCATAATTAAATATATATCTTGATATTTTCCTCTCTGTTAGTTTATTTACTTGAAATTTTATCTTGTTCATACATTTTGGATATTTTGTATGATGGTGTAATAATTTGTAAAAATTCACCATTAATGGGAAAAACTATTCCATAATTATTCGGCCTATTTATTGATTATCACTATAGGAATGACCTCGTATTAAATGAAACGTAGGTGTACTCTTAGTCAGTATTTCAAATTACCTAGTAGCAAGCATAATCGCAGATGAAGAGTGGTAAAATCAAATATGGAACCATTTTTATACCTGTATACAACTTGCATGTTTCTATGTACAATTTTCAAAATACAATCTTACTAAATCGTCCTTGAAATTCTTCAACATTTTTGCCTGGGTAATACCATCATATCTAACATCACCATCAATACGTGTTAACAAATCCAAATCGATAGCCCCAATGGCCTTTAAAAGCGACGAAAATCCAGCCCCAGGTCTCTCCACGACCAATACCATTTCTCCACCTCGAGCATATCCATTAATGTTCTGAAGAATCTTCCTGTCCTCAATCTGACTTTTAGCCATTGCTCTTTGGATTCCTCCGATATTTCGTTCAAAAAATCGTGAACAGTCACAACAATCGAAAAGATTCATCGACACCATGGACCGTCAAATGTGTAAAGCTTACACCCAAGTTTCTCAATTCGATCTCCTGATACCTTAGACGTTTTAATGAAGCAAAATCTTGTGTAAAGGGAAATTATTTGGGTCTATTTCAATTTTGCTGTCTCTCGTGGTTCTTCGAGACATTTTAGTACCAATTATACTACGTGATTAGCTGAGGTTTTCACTGTTACATAGTCTAGATACTTATTGACCACAATTACAAGAATAGTTTTAGTCTTATTTATTCTATCATGATATCGCGTAGGAAGTTACAATACATATTCATAAAAAATAAGGGATCATGTTAAGCGACATTGTCATCCGATGACAGAGAGCCAAACTGAACAGAGAAGCTTGAATTAAGCTTGTTTAAATAACAGACAGCACCCTTTGGAACCGATTTGGTTATCCTGTATATAACGTGCATGATTTCTTTGGGATACATAAGGATGTTAAAGGATAGGACGAATTGGATGTTCAGTAGCTTAACCTATGCTGATTCTTGGAGGTAACCAACAAGAAACGGTGTGTTGACATCTCTAGTTAATCATTATTCTGGTGGTCGAAGCTTAGAAACGTTAAAGTATAATTTACCAAGAGTGCCAGTTTTCTAAATTTACTCAAATTTTTACAGTAAGTTAAAAAAGGAAACTTTTTTCGTACTATTGGAGAAAACTGAAGGTATCGAGTAGAGGCGAAACCAACAACTAATAGATGATTATCATAATATTGTGCCATCAGAAGGATCCAAAACTATTTTGCTGCATTGTTTGGAACATACAACCCACTTTTTATGAGATTTTAGTATTACGATGAAAAACTATACAATTACCAAACATCTTGGCTCGGTTTGAAATAGATTGAATAGATCCAATATAAACAGTCTCTAATGAATCGCATGATGAAACTCACTGCTTTCATCTTGACTTTTAAGGCAATTCGTTTATAAAATAGAGACTTCCTTGGAAAAAGATTGTAGTCAAGACGGGTACTTTGCCATGGATCACCATAATGTATACGGATACGAGTTTCAGGCTGGTGTGAAAAGAGTCAAGCAGAGTATATCAGGAAACAATTAATGACTAGTTAAACGTTATCACTCGGTCCATTCGAATGTAATAAGCTGTATTTGATAACCCTGGTTATTCCATTAGAATTTTAATGTTACCCGCTTTTTACAATTTTTTACCCTCAAAAATTTCACTACAAGATTGAAAAAATTAACTACCTTTACTATTCTTTGTTGAATACTAACCCAGCATTCTATATTGTATGTAATAACGTAAAGATATACGATATTTAAATGATGATAAAAATAACACAGACCTGTACTGATTCTATTTAAATAGATACATGCAGATAAAATTATTGCCTTTTCTGACAAATATTCAATATTACATTTTGAATTCGATGAGAAAATACTAACGATTTAGATGATTTATAGAACCAATAAATGATATTATGGAGAATTGATACCGTAGAGTCGTCCGTAGATGTATAGTTTTGACGTATATAGAATATGTCTCAAGACACAAGTGTTCTAAGGTCCGGTCGTGTTAGATGGATGTCAGCATCGTCTGAAGGGCTATGAAACAACCTTTTGTTATAGCTGTTGCCGGATTTCAAATTAGGGCAACCGAAAGGAGATACATCAGGGCCGGAGAGAACGTTGAAAGTGAATTGAAAGTATGTCGCCTAAAAATAAACTAGTAGACAATATCAAGCATACATGAATTCATATAAACTAGAACATTCATCAATTACTACTACAATAGCTAATATACACGTATATGTTCAATTATAACTATCAGAAACTAAATAAACTATTTTTTAGCAGTTAATCTTCTTAAGTAGAAGGCTAATTCTTCACCTTCTAAAATGTAACCGTCACATCTACCGGATTGACCTGGTCTAGAAGAAATAGCAGCGTATAATCTACCAGCGTTGAATTGGTGTTCGACAGCAGATTCAATGTTAGAAGCACCAGATCTTTGAGCCAATTTTCTTTCGACCTTTCTGGATTTCTTGGTTTCTTCTTCTTCACCAGTAGCCTTCTTCTTACCTAAAGCAATACCGTAGTGAGTTTCGAACCACTGCTTGAATGGGGTAGCATCGATTTGAACAATAGCAGCCTTGGTTAAAGTGTTAGTTCTAACCAATTCGTTGTTGGATGGATGGTAGACGACACCAGCAAGTCTGGTCTTTCTAGCGACACCTTCAGAAGCCCATGAGAAGTTACCGGTTTCGATTCTTAAGGCTCTGAATTTTTCATTACCACCTCTAGTTCTGACAGAGTGAATTCTCTTAGCACCGATCTTGGTGTTGGCAGGTTGTCTACCTAATTCGAACTTTCTCTTCTTTCTGAATTGGGCTTTTTTGGCACCAGTAGCAGCACGCTTGTGACGAGAATCTCTAGAAATACCCATGTTTGCTATTATGAGTTAGTATATTGTTCTTATTTCCGGTCCTTTATCCGAAGTACTAGTATCACTCGACCGTCAACATTACATTGACTTCCACATCCCATATCGATTCCACAATTACTCTAAATCCATAATCCATCTCTTCTATCATCATATAATCCATAATAATGTTCTCTATTGTATTTATAACTCCTCATTCCTCCTCTAGATGTCTTTGAAAAATCTTTGGTGTAATGCTAAATATTCATTTCATTCATAGTCTATTCGCTTCAATCATGTTCCATCTGTTTCTATTCCTACTAACGGGTTATACTGGTACTTTGGATGTCATTACGACTTATTGAACATGTTGGTATTATACATACTCTAAGTTTTGCTTTATTGGAAGAGTAAAAGAATTATTGAAATTTTTTCAGTTCACTTATTTTGAGTACGCAAACTTCCTCACTATGAGAGTAAGATGATCGGTGACACAAAATGGTGAAATTTTTTTTCACAGTACTCAGTCGGACGAGAGATGAAACGGTCATATGCGTAGAGCATATTGGAGGGCATGAACCCTAGGTGACTGGGAAATGCAACCGTCTGCATACTAGAATGGAAATACACTAATATGCACAATAGAGAGATATTGCATATTGCAAGAAGAATATCGAGTAGCTATGAAGCATTTCGAGTTTATATCTACGATGAGAGTCATAAATATGTGGTCTATGCATGGCCAGAATTTGATTTTTTTTAGAGGGTGATGTGGAATATGTTAAATTACGTGACATGGACGAAGTGAAGGAGGACCTTTTGGAAAGGAAATTTCAGACTAATCCTGATTACGGTATAATGTTAGCACCTAACAAGTGTGAGGTTCGGAACTTTGATTATGGATTTAATATCCATTTATGAAGAAAACGTCGGAATATAAGTGCTTCGCTCGATAGGTCATCGATGTGTACTAGATGGGTTTGATGAAGAGTGGATGGAGATCTTGCCAAGTGATAACGACGACACAATAAGAATATTCTCGCATAACAAGAAAGGATTAAACATTGAGTCTACAAGGTTCAGATATATAGACGTGAGCAGTGAAGATGATATGAAAAGAGAATTTTTATATGATGGACTCAATAAACGCACTTACTTGGTGTTAGACGAGGATATCACGATTAAGAATAAATATGAGGGCTACAAGAACTACAAGGCGATCACTGAAAAGTATATGAAGAACTGGAGGATATATTGTTAGATAGATATGACATCGTAGACAAAAACATTATAGTTTACGATTAATGCAAAGTTCGATAGTCACAAGAATTTCAAGAGTTTACCAGTTTCGAGTGAAGAGGAATTGAAGGAAACTTTGAAGAAGCTAAGGAAGGAAGCAGACCTATACTTTTGAAGAGAGTTAATGCTACTTGGTTTATCTAATGAAGAAATAAGACTTTAGGATACATTTGGATCCAATACAAACTGGCTGGACCGTGTCAAGTATAACTGGATGAAGGTAGACATCGTCAAAACGTTAGGGTATACTGAGAGAAAGGATTTGATAAGCAAAATAAGGGAAGAATCGAGGAATAAAACTTCAGAATAAATCAAAGTAATATGAATAGGGATGTGAAGGTTTCAGCTCACGTCGCAATATGAGAATGCGTTGAGTTTTGCATACTTTGGAATACTTTAAACGTTCTTTGTAATCCGGGAAACTAAGATACCGCATTCTCGGAGTTGTAATTGATATAGCTAATGCTAGTAATAGTTATTGAAGGGTTTGCAATCAAATCGCTTCTCATAAACGACCATTTCTTGAAGTCGAAATGTAAGATCAAAAAATGTTCTGAACAGGAATTTACATTATGGACTAAGTGAATAAGTGTAGAACAGCACAATACAGTGAAGTACAGGTTTTGATAGGATCGGTATGACGTAAAATTACAAATTACCTTTTTGATTTGACTTATAGTTGGACAGCTGATGGTGTATTAAAGAAAAGGCTTGAAAACATTAAGAATATGCCATCTGGTTCATCAAGATGTGTCGTAGCATGTACATATTTGCATTATTATGCTTCTATTTGTGCAACATAATTTGTACTATGCGGTTCATACTTGATTATACAGGATGGTTACGTCAAGACAGTTAAGTTGACTACCAGGATCATTAGTCATAAATTTACTATAGAATAACGTAAGCATGATTCACCTTGATTCATTCTTCAATATAGTCAATGCAGAACTTATTAAATGGTTCCACCTATTGTAGAAAGTCCGCAAAAAGAGTTGTATATGCTTTTGTGGCTTCTGCTGCACTAAACACATTTGTACTTTCCTATCTGTACAAGGCAAATAGCATATATAAAAGCTGGGGTATCTGATGCTTATTTATGCAGCAAGCTACATACATACTCTTTTTACACTGTATAAATTAAGAATGACAGAACCATTAGATAGCGAAAGACATAGTACTCAATTAGATAACGCATACTCTGATACAATCGAACTCAACAGAATAGTTTCATCTATTTTAGAAAATATGATTGAAAAGAGGCTAAAAGAAGCACCTGAATGGTTCAAGACAGAAATGAATAGTATTAAGTCTAGTTTTACCAACTTGGAAGCTAAAGTGGAAGAAGTACAAACCAACTTGGAAGAAGTAGAAACCAACTTGGAAGCTAAAATGAATGAAAAGTTCAATTCACTCGAGACAAGCTTGAATAGCAAATTTGCTTTAATTGATTCAAGATTTGTTTCACTCGAGCACAATCATTTATGTGTGTTTAATGTTGTTAGAAGAATGTTTGGTTATGATGCTGTTAGTGTGCCATTCTTGAATAGGGAAGAAAACCAAGAAGAGTTACCCCCAGTTCTGTCAGTGCAAGACATTGATGGATTAACGAAAGAACAATGCCAGAAATACTTGAGAGGATACAATGTTGAGTTTCATCTGAATGAAACAATCAAGCTAAAAGAAAGATTACGAGATGCAGTAGGTTTAATGTTTAGCTCTGACAGAGATTATCGATTTACACCTTTTTCAGCCTAATTAGTTCAGTTTTATGGAAATACAATGCTTTACCAATTTGTTACTAACACAATCAGGAGCAATGCAGTCTAGCTGAAAAGGTTTTACATTATATAGAATATATAGCTCTGCGAAGTGTATAGTTTCGATTCAATATGATAGAGAAAAGATTGATGTCAAACTCTAAGTAGATACCCCTCTGAAGAATGCTTTTCCAACCGAGTAGGATTAAGGGTTCTCGATTTGGGGTTTGAGAAAGTCGTATATATTATGAACCAGATTTTGTAGAAGGATTGGAAGTTATAGTGCTGGCTATTTCCCTCCATTCGATTCGGTATAGAAATAGACATGGGGGGGAATTATGATATGTAGTCATCTGATGAGTACTAAGTATATGCATAGTAGCTAATGAAGGAAAATAACGATATGTATGAATAATACACACGTGCATTGTTTTGAAGAAAGATATCAAAATTAAAGATATAAGACAGCATATAAATTGGTACCATAAATGCATTAGTGAGTAATGAGATGAATAAATTATTTACGGCGATAAAGTAAGAGTGGGTGAAAAAAGATTTAATATCAATCTAACAATATGAATAGGAAAATGAAGATTTCAGCTCAGCTCTCAGTATGAGAGTTCCTTGAGTTTTGCATATTTTGGAATACTTAAAACGTTCTTTGTAAATCAGAGAAACTAAGATACAGCTTTTTAGGAGCTGCAATTGAAGCAAAATGCTGCTAGTAATATGGAAGCAGTTGTAATATGTCACTACACGACCGTTTCTTAAAGAGTCCAAAAGTAAGATCCAATGTAGAAGGTTAAGGGAAACATAGCCAATAGTTATGCATCACTTCAGAATTTATATCTTCGATGAAAGTCACAAATATGTAGTAGAAGAATGGCCAGAGTTTGACCATTTCTTAGAAGATGAAGTAGAATACATACTAGTACGTCATATGAACGAACTAAAAGAGGATCTTTTGAACAGGAATTTTCACACCACAGACAGAGGTGAATACGGTATAATGTTAGCGCGAAACAAATGTGAAGTGCATAACTTTTATTATGGATTTGATAATTGTTATATCGAATATTCAGTAGGAATTCTACTGCTTTACACTATAGGTCACGGTTTTATTTTAGATCGTATAAGAGACAGAAAAAACGAAGAGTGGCTGGAGATCTGTCCAAGTGCAAACTATGACACAGTAAGAACATACACATACAATAACCAAAGGCTAAATATCGAGTCTACAAAGATAAGATATATAGACGTAGGCGATGAAGACGATATAAAAAAGGACTTATTGCACAAAGGATTCGAGTTGAGCATTTATATGATATTAGGAGAAGATGTTAAGGTGATCACCGAAACGGAAATTGAAGATAGGATGGAAGATATTACGTCAGAACTGTATGACTTGTTGTAGAGGAAACCGTCTAGTGCTCGGGTGAATGCGAATTTTGATCGCCATAAGAATATCTAGTTTAAAAATATTAGAGACGAAAACTTTTAGGAAGTTAAGCAAGAAAGCCAACCTATACACATCGAACCCCGGTATGGCTTCTTGATAATGCCTAATGAAGAGATAAGGTTTATGATACACTAATTGGCTGGACCGGGTCAAGTATAATTGGATCGTGGTGGACACTGACACTGAAATAAAGAATTTGCTTAGCAAGATAAAAGAAGAGAGGGCATGGATACCAAATCCGAAAAATCGAATAAAACTTCAAAGCGAAACAAAACAGTATGAATGTAAACGAAAACTTAGGTTTGTGCAGGTATATAAGTACCCTACGGATCTTTCAATTAATTCTAGAAGTATACACAATCGTCTATGTAGATTGACAACAATGACACTGGACACCAGGTGACTAGTCGCTATAATGCTACACATGTAACTAGCTCTATTGAAAAATAGGGATATATTGTTATGTAATTGAATTAACAAGAAGACTTTGATTCATGTATAGAAGTAGTAGCTGCAAACTAAACCCTTGCAGTGATATCATCCAGACACCAATATCCATCCGCGATTATCCCGGGTTCCCGGCGGCGTATAATTTACACCCGCACACGATCTCTTCTGAGATGGCTCAATTACATAATCAAAAGAAATGCAGCATCAAAAAAGAATTACCAGAAGTACACCAACTTAAACCTTTAATAATTCGACTACTAGCACATTCTAATCACGATGGAAACGATCTACGACGAGATAGAAATCGAGGACTTCACATTCGATCCTTTAACCCAGTTATTCCAGTATCCATGTCCATGTGGAGACAGATTTGCTGTATCGATCGACGACTTGAACGACGGCGAAGACATCGCGGTGTGTCCCTCATGTTCGTTGATGGTGAAGGTGATTTTTGACCCCGAGGACCTTCAGGAATACTACGATGAGATATGAGAGCCAAAATCCCTCCAAAAAGTATAAAAAATGGTCTCCTACCACAAGTGAAAAAGTTCTACTACTTGCGAACGAGTGTAAAATGACAATGAGACTGACACGGAAAGGCGGAATAGGATCTCACGCCATTTTTTGGCACTAACTACACGAAAATGACTTGTCGTCCGACGACGATGCAGACTAATATTCTTTATCCGCTACGGCTATTCAACCGTTGGCACTTCGTGTAAAACGTTGAGCCTGTCAACGGTCGCCTGGCCCCGTTGAAACATACCCGCGATAATTAGTACCCGCATTAAAACTATAAATATATTGGGTCTACTATTTGTCCTTTTTGGAGTTGCATGGTATAACAATGGGCCCGAACAGTGGTCTGCTAGGACCAGTTACTTCCGCCCTTTCTCGTAAGCTTCCCATGCATGGTTTCGATATGAGATCAGTACGTATGCTAGCATATTTACCAGCATACTGGCAAACGAGCTGTCTCGCGGGACCGATGCACTATTGCTATTGTCCTCTGTACATACATAACAAAATATATATATCAGCCGCTAATACATAACATTTATTGGATACGTACCAACGTGGTCCGCCTGTGTACTCCTGGTCGTCTCGTCGGCTTTTAGCGCGCTTTCCCAATACAAGGATAGTCTAAAACCATGGTGTAGCATTGTCCCGGAGTTATCGCTCTCAAGTGTTGGAGATGGTTTCACACCATGCGATCTTTCCACCTGCCGGAGAGACCTGGCTAATGCATCATCGTTTCACGTATTTTCTTTGTTCGTCCGGTGACCTCCAAAACTTCCACAGGAATTTATCGGTTAAGGCGGAAAACACCCAGAAAAACCCTGGTACACCACCCGGAACATTGTCAGTACACACCCTGAACAATAGCAACCGCAAAGCGCATTCCCGTTCGAGGGCCACTAGTGGTTTCTCTACATACAACAGGACGTCTGCGTGTTTGTGTCTATGCACTGGTTAATAGATATGACCAGATAGTGAATGGTTAGGTGGGATAGGTGGTGGGTACAGGGTTGAGGGTTATGATTTCGAAAGAATAAGACCGATATGCATATTGTGTAGACATATATGCCTGTAGATAGTACTAGCATAGTTGGTCCGGTGGGATTTGTACTCATGATATTTAGTTGCTAGTCAATTTAAATGTAAGTGTACAGTTGAACGACTTTCAAAAATTTTTGAATATTGTATATTCTACTTACATACAACGCTATATATTATCACAACTAGTGTTTGATAATAACTTTACGACGTACGGGAGACACAAGGATTGTTGAGAGATAATTGTCGTATATTTTCATCGAAAAGTGGGACATAATTAAGATTTGGTGATTGGATATGAATTATCCTTCTGATCAACCACCATATTATTCGTACGACCAGTATAACCAGGGATACCAGCAGCGGCCCTACCAGACACTAGGAGGTCAGCCGAATGGTCATTTATCCAATATGCGTCCACAGGGTGGTTCTTCAGGCATTTATCCTCACAACGAGACGATGGATAATCATACCACCGGGAGTCAGGGACCCCAAAAGCTGAGCAACGGCACCAATACTCTATCTATTTACAGCACACCAGCAGGAAACAACAGAAGGGGATTCTGGTCGCCCGAGGAAGACCGTAGATTGATGGAATTAATATCGATATTTGGGGCATCGAACTGGGTCAAGATTTCGAATTCACTTAGTACTAGGACGCCGAAACAGTGCCGTGAGCGTTATCATCAGAACTTGAAGCCTTCGTTAAACAGAAAACCTATATCTACAGAAGAGGGAGAGCTTATCGAGCAGTTGGTGGCGAAACACGGTAAGAAATGGGCCGAGATTGCAAGACATTTGAACGGGAGGTCAGACAACGCTGTAAAGAACTGGTGGAATGGAGGGGCGAATAGGAAAAGAAGAGCGACCGTTCATATGAAAGCATCTCCAGAACAGCTGTTCAGCACGACGGCGGGCCATTCCCAAGACCTGATACAAGATCAGAGGAATGTGCAACCATTACCACAACCATTACCACAACCACATCCTCCTCAACAAATTTCATTTAAAACATCGATGTTTGGTAACCAAGAGGTGGCTAATAATACACCTCCTTTATCATCCACGTCTTCTGCAAATTCAACATCTCCATATCGGACTTCTAATCAACGACTGGCAAGTTTGGATGTTGACAACGTATCTCAATTGATGCATCACCACAACATGCATGGAAGTAGTAGCCAGAGCGCTAATATTAATGTCTCCAATCTGAATAGTAACCAGAATATAGTATTGCCTCCATTGAATAATGTGAACGGCTCTTTGCCATCATTAATCTTACCATCTAAGAAAAGACTATTAGATGACCACAACCCAATTTCACGGAGACACTCGTACGCCAATACGATGTATTCGGTTCAAAATCAAAATGCTCACGCCAACAACATAACTAATAGTAATCCAAATCTATCCAATTTAGTGAATGCGTCACACCAACCAAGTTCATTGAATACAAGTGGCCAAAGCTCACCTTATCATGGGTCACCATTGATGCTAAGTAACCAAGCTTCTAGGAATAATTCAATTTCCATCCCCAACTTTGAATTTTCTACACTAAACACCTCGAATGCAACGTCGTTGTCTGACTCAAGACGATCCTCGTACAATCCAGATTTTTTCCCTAATCCGTTGAAGGATAACCCTCAAACCAGTCATAAGAGAAATATCTCCCAAAATTCTTTTAATTCACCTTTGACTCCATCTTACAGATATTCAGTCTCAAGCGGAGGATCCGCATATAACACAACAACAAATACTAATTCCAACTCGAATTCTAACGCTAATACGAATATTAATACTGGTAACACTACTATCAATAGTGCCATTGACGCCGATCAACAAAATGCAAGTCCGAAAAACGTCAAGGCTGATAAGGCGATTGCTACAGGTCCAGAGGATAAACGGCGAGCTGGGCAGGACAAAAACCATTTTGGTAGCGATAGAATTGACGGAGATCAAGATATGAAGGAAAATACTGAAGCTACCGAAAATACCAAAATTTCTGTATCAAGTTTACTTGATTGAATAAACACTTTTTTAAAATTCACTTCTTCGATGTCTTAAGTAAGGATATATATAATACCAATATTAATAATACTAATACTTCCATTATCAACTGTTTGTAACAGTTTCAGGTCTTTTAACTCTAATATAACCATTCTTTAAGCTGAGTTAGATGTGCTTCATCTTTAAATGCTTCTACAATTCTCAAATTAAGCTCATGGTTTTGTAAGTTAATATGATCTTGAAGTCCATAAGTATCATCCTCCTTATTCTAACTATCCCTAACTATACCATAATGCTATATAGTTTTTCGTTGATTTGTTTAAGTAACAGTATCCATTTTGATAGTGACACAAAGCTAGTATGTCTATCATTTATCCGAAGTTATATTGACGTGATTTACAAGATGATAAGTTAGCTTCTTAATATGGTTTCAAAGATAGTTTTGCCGGTTATTAATGATAGGGTATTAATATTTGATATAGAAGATATTAAAAAGCTAAGAAATGTAGGAATACTAGGAATACTTAGTGGAACATTGCCTAAAGCTCCTCAACAGAATATTTTTCTTGGTGTTCCTCTACAATTAAGTGTTAATGAAACTTTATGGTTAATTGAACGTGAATATGGAGTTCTCGTAGATAGTAAGGAATTACATAAGAAGAAGAACGAATCATCTAAAGAGGGTATAGAAGAAAATGCAAATAATGAGTTTATAAGAATTCCAAATACCGTCAAACCTAATGAAGAATTATCACCAATGGATTTAAAAGATTTTATCTCATTGCATTATTCCACGCAAAACGAGTTAGAACGCTTAATACGAGATTATCATACTTTTAAAACAGTTAGGGATAAGGGATTTTTTATTTTGCCTGGCCTTAGATTTGGAGGAGAATTAATCGCCTACCCTGGTGATCCATTGAGATATCATTCTCATCTTATTATAAACACTGCTTATAATAGTATAAATTTACTTGATGTGATTACAGGAGGTAGACTTGCGACTGGTGTGAAAAAGGTCTGGCTTATAATAGGTGACGACAAGGAGCAATCTAACATAACTAATGACGTAGTAGAAGAGTTTACGAAGGATACAGAACCTATGAGTTTTTCTATCGAATGGGCCGGATTCGGTTAGAAAAACTTACAATATATAAAGTACTTTCAAATATATCATTTATTGTAAATAATTATAATTTATATATTAAAAACATCGTAAAACATAAAAATTAAGAATAAGCATTATTAAAACGATTGAGGTATTTTATATTGTTCTTATCAACAACATTTTGGGCTTCTGTTATATGGTATATATTCATCATGTTTCGTACAGTCTGAATCTTACTTTTGCTTCCTGTCACTGTTATTTTCTTCACGTGTTGCTTATACTTCCATCGCTATAGTGCTTATTTCTTTAGGAAATGGGACTCGAAGGAGGAGGACCCCGAGGAGGTGAAACTGGAGGCGGAAGAGGACCTTGAGGAGGAATACCAATATCATCATGATGTTTTCCACCATGAGGTCTTGGTCTATTATCATCACCATGATATTTCATGCCGTAGACTTTCGATGGCTTGTCTTCTTCATCACTATTTTCGCCATCACTATCTTCGTCATCACTATCATCATGATGCTTTCCACCATGAGGTCTTGGTCTATTATCATCACCATGATACTTCATACCGTAGGCTTTCGATGGCTTGTCTTCGTCATCACTATCTTCGCCATCACTATCTTCGTCATCACTATCATCATGATGTTTTCCACCATGAGGTCTTGGTTTATTATCATCACCATGATACTTCATACCGTAGACTTTCGATGGCTTGTCTTCGTCATCACTATCTTCGTCATCACTATCATCATGATGCTTTCCACCATGAGGTCTTGGTTTATTATCATCACCATAATGCTTCATACCGTAGATCTTCGATGGCTTTTCCTCGTCATCATCACTATCGTCATGATGTTTTCCACCATGAGGTCTTGGTCTATGATCATCACCCTGGTGCTTCATACCGTAGACTTTCGATGGTTTGTCTTGGTCATCATTGTCATAATTGTCATGATGCTTTCCACCATGGTGCTTCATACCATACACCTTATGTCTGTCCATGCCATGATGCTTATTTTTACCTCCTTGGTGCTTCATCTTGCCTTGATGATGCCTATCTTTGCCAATTTTAATGACATTCCCACTTTCATCTACAATGATAAATTCACGGTGAAGGTCAAGGATTCTCATTGCATTCAATGTATCACGTAATTGTTTACAGATGAAGATATCAGTGGATTTGAAAGCATAAATGTCTGACAAAACGTCAACCACATTATCGTATTCATCACCTATCTTCTTCAATTTCATTAGCCTGTGAAGTCTTTTAGGCGGAATTTTATAAAGTAACCGATAAGAATGCAGATCACTATGTTCTTCATTGCCTGACTTATTTTTGTCAGAAATAATAGTGCCATTTACAGCAGTTACTTTTCTCTTATAATTATAAGCCCCTGTCGGTGAAACCACATTCAACTTATATTTAGTTTCTAAATCACCAAATCCATGATTGCCTTCATGGGACAAAACATATCTTGACTTACCATTTTGAGAGGTTGCTGTACTCATGACATTCTTTCCATCTACATTAACAATAGCCTCTTTAGCATGGGCAATTTTAGCGTCATACTCAAGATCAAGGCTGTTTGCTTCTGATTGATCACTTTCATCAAGCGATATAGTCAAAGGATAACTTAACTGAGACTTATAATTGTGAATAATATTGGAATCATCAACTTTTTGATCTGAAGGATTAACATTCTGAATAGTGAAAGTCTTAGATGATGAACCAAGATGTACAACCTTTTGGTTGTCACCAAAATGCCTATAGCTTTGAACATTGGATATTTTAGCTTCAGAAATTGAACTAACAGTAGTATTAAGAGTAGAACCATCCTTTAATACAAAATTTAAATTACTTGTTAATTCAGCATCAAATGATGCAGAAATTGTTTGTTGAATTGAACCGGTGAAAGGTGGAGCGAAATCAATGACTCTTGCACTTTGGCTATGATCGATCTTGATAATATCACCAGATACATCAGCAACGTCTTTATTTTCATAGGTCAACAAATTAGCCGTGGTAATCCAGTTATCGCCAATATTAGAACGAGGAGTATTTGGTTTAGCAGTTTCGTCTAATCCATTTGCTATCTCAATTTCTATATTCTTATCCTCTATCGACTGGTTCTCCCAAAGATATGGTAATAAACCTGACAAATCCAAATCAATGCTTGGCAAATCAAACGAGTCGTGCGGCATAACTGGCGACCACAATGCTGGAGAAACACCACCAGAGAAAATGATGGGTTGCGGAGACTGGGTTGCAATCTTTTCGCCATTGAAGTAAACATTTACAATTCTGACAGGCCCATGACCTTGCAAAGCTCTACCATTCTTTTCAAATTTACGTACATATTTGTCCAAGACATTAGCGTACCAAAATTCCTCAGCAGCACTACCAGATGTGAAAATAGATAATTTCAAACGAGTAGTATTTACTGGAACAGATGGCAAGTTAACAATAAGTTTATCAGAAGGCAAGTATGAGATTGGCGATGTTTCTGTATCTTTACTATTCGTAAGTGCATGTATTTGCGACGCTGGCTTAGCAACTGAAAAAATGGACTCGTTCAGGTTTTTATCCTCTTCATTTAAAAATGCATCTACTTCATGGTGATGTTCTTCAACGTTGTAGAAATCAACGAATAACTCAACCTCAAATTCACCGGAAAGTCTTCCAGATAAGATATTGTCCAATTGAAATAAAATCTTCGACTCTTTTGTGAAAAGCTTTAAGTAAGAGGAAACGTCCTTCTTGAAAGTGGAAAAGACAGCCCTTCCACCTGGTTCCGCAGTAGACGTTCTCCAAATTTCAGCTCCATCGACAAATATGTTGGCCAACCTGTCGTACTGAACGCCTTCAACAGAAGTATTCAACGTCAAAACAACTCTGTTGAACTCAACTCCGGAAGGAGGCGTGTAATTAGTAGCGACAGGGGTACCCCATGAATCGCCAAATGTATGTTTGACCAAACTGGCTGAATGCACCAGTTCACCATAAGAATGGCGAGGTACGTTTGGATTGCTAACCTCAATTACCTGTCTAGTAGGAACTGTTCCATTGGCGTGTTCTGTGTTCGAAATACCGAAACTTTCATCAACATAACTGGCCATATTAGGACTTTTTCTACCAATTGCACCATGGCAAGGATGGAATTTAAATACCTTAGGAAGACAAATCTGATCTCTCAACAAGAAGATTGTCAAGACTAATCCAATTAAAATCATCCCATGTCCTACAATTCCCTTTCTCTTTCTGGCTTTTACTATGATTGGTTCTGAATATTCATTATTGACTTTCCCATCATCGGAATATCCTTGCTTCTCATCATAAAATCCTTCTGAAGCCCCTTTCTCTATATCTTCCTCTAGGTTTGGCATTCTTGGTTTACCATAGATAAATTTATTCCAAAGCGAAGTATCAAGAGCTTGATGTTGACTCATGTTGATAAATACTTAAGATAAAGGAATATAATAATACTAAAATACTAGTGCGATTGTTCTTAATTTATTTAAAGATAAAAAAAGGGCTTAAACGTTGCAGCCAAGGCTTAGTCGGCTTTTGACGATTAAATACTAGCTATTGTTCATACAGCCAATAGGACAATACGAACACCAAGGCTTGCATGGGTCACCGTGACAAGGGCCCCAGCATGTAATGCCACTACATATAGGATAATAATGATCGACTATATCTCTTAGTAGAGTAGTAGTTCATGTGGAATATATATTATGCATATACAATTATAAACTGTGCTCTAGGATTACAAGGACTACTCATAATCACCTTAAGTGTTAGGCTGGAGATTAGGCCAGCTTTCTCTCGAAAATACTAGACTATAATATCTTGAAATCTGTCTTCGGAATACTTTTGCTCTTCAATATAGTGCAAAGTTCTGTGGAAATAGGCTTGTATTTGGTTGAACAATTGAGATTCGTGATCATCGTCGTCTTTGGAGGCATTATCATCCCTGAAATTCTCGAGGTTAGTTCTAATTAGGTCAATTAAGCCATTGATATACCGGGAGTCGATCAAGTGATTCCCGTAGATGTTGAAAATCAAGCATCGGTTTAGAATTTCAACGAATAATTTTAGAGAGAGATATGGATCCATACACGAGTCAGCGACCCGAAGAGCCTTCTGCAAACACTCCAAGACTCTCTTAGGGTCTCTGTAAAGGGCAGCCTCTTCATCTTGCCCGTTTGCTTCGACTGTCGGAGAATTGCCTTCGATGAAGAGATCACACCACCACCAAAGATGTGCACAGTAGTATACAGCACGACATTGAGCGTGTTTCTTTAGTAATTTGGACCCATATAGTGTCAACTTTGTAATCAAATTTTCGTAATTCTCCTTGTTAAAATACCTCAGGTTTGCTAATTTATTAGCAATCATATTAATCAGCTCAAATGGTAATGAGCCTCCTACCGAGTCGTGTGGATTGTGGGAATGATTTATGGTGGAATTAAATATGACGTTTTCTTCATACACAATAAAGCACTGGGTGAATAATTCGTATGCAATCGATTCTTGCTTTAATTGATCAGCAACGGCCGCTGCATTGAGGTACAATTTCAAGACCACCTCCAGATTAAATTGTTGATGGTGCTGGTATAGTTCATCGATTATCACCGATAGGTTCTTAAAGTTTGTGGTGATAAGTAAATCTTTGTTTGAATCGACCTTGGATTTCCTTAAATTAACAAGGCCAATAATTCTTAGTTGATTTAAAATCTTAGAAATCAATGCTGGGTACGTATACAATATATTATCGGGGTTTTTACTTAAATATTTCTTTCTAATATACATTAAATTAGAAATATTTTTGTAGTAGTCCTTGTTTTCAATCAAATGAACCACCTTACCTAAATTTTCTTGAACTCTTAAAAATTCGTGACTGATAGACTTTTCACCACCATCAATTTTGATAGCTTTAGTCACACCTAAGTCCTTAGCAGTATTCTTCTGGCTATCTGTATCTTTAATAAGGATTAATAGGTATTTAAAAATCATATCAATCTCATCCACTGTAGAATACGTATCAAATATATTCTTCTCAGCATCAGTAGGCGTAAGAACTTTGGTAAGTACTTCTAAGGCAAGCAGTTTCTTATACTGAATGTTCGATAATTTCGAATAAAACTCATAAAAATATGAAAGACTTAATAAACTTTTAACTGATGAAAAATGTTGCAATGGTGAAATCAACAAATTTAACCATAATTGTTGATCCTCTTGAGTTTCATTATCATTGGTTAATTGTTCACTAGCAAACTTGTAAATTTGGTTCAAATTTTCGAAATTTTGCAGATCATAAGCTAATGATAATTGTATGAATGATTGTAACATAGTCGAATGTTCTTCTAGGGGCAATTCGGGATCTGTTTCAAACAACTTCAAATAGAACGCCCAAAAGGTGTCAAATATATCTGATAATGGGAGATTATCCGACTGTGCTTTGTCATTCAAGTCCAAGTTCTCAACTTTAGAATCTAAATCATCTTCGTATTTGCGATATGTGATAAATCTTTCTATCAAAGACGATACTAGTTCGGATTTCTTCAACATAGGATGCAAATTAATAAATACACTGCTTAAAAGCTTGTCTAATGTAACGAAGTGAAAATTATCTGGAAAAATTTGGATCAAAACATCTATTAAATAGCTTTGAGCCAATGGATCCCTGCATTGGATAATATGCTCAGTTATCACCGGAAATATTTTCTCTTTATAGTAGTCGATACTTGAATATTGGTCATCTCCAGTGTAATCGTCAATAATCTGGGATAACCTAACCAAATTTGATCCAACCAAAATTTTCAATTCTTTCCGCTCTCTGAATCTTAATTCTCTTTCGGATGAATGTCCTTGATGTTGTAGTCTAACCCACAACTTATTCATCTCTATAAAATTTGATATTAAAAACTCCACAGTCTCATTGAGGTCATTGTCATCCGATAATGGTAATAAATCCTTGATTCTTTGGGACAAGTAGTATCTCAAAAATAGTCCCCTAATTGGATGTTGAACTCCTCTACACATTTCAATCATCTCTTTCATAAGCTCCTTCTTTGGTGCACCATCAGTAGACATATATGTTGTACCGACAACTATCATCATGTATAATCTAGGGATAATATTACCCGAATATTGTACTAGCTCATATAAATCAGCCAAAAAAGGCGGAGAATCTCCAGAAGCTCTCTTTTTTTGTTTTGATTTATGTGATGCTAATAGGTGACTTGACAATGTTTCCAATGCATCAAATATCACAACGTACATTTCATAATATTGTTTAGGACTAAGCTGATTGATTCTTAATTCGTTCAAAAAATTTGAACAATGTTTAAGTGCTTGTAATAAATTGCCTTCATTTAAACATTGTTTCATTAAATGGGATTGATGTCCAATGTTACTTAAACACCCTTGTAAGAGTGCTTGTTGTTCGGATGCTACAACCGCCATTCTTATGTGTATAATGTATCAATTGTTGAAATTAAGTCCATATATACTGATTTAAGCTCATAAACTTGATTTTAGCGTGCACTCCTTATCGTGCTCACTATTAAATTTTTCAAGAATTGCTGGTAAACGAAATGAAGACAATAAATATTATGGTAGAAGTATTTACAATAATAAATATGTTTACAATAATAAGTATATTTACAACGCAAATTTCTAAACACCACCGTTAGAAATTATAAAGAAATAACAAAAAGACATAATTAAAATCTAATTTATGTCAAATGAATCCAAATCATGAATAACCATCGCTGCAATGGCAGCCGATGTTAAAGTAGCAATACCACCCGTAAAAAGGGCAGATATGATAGAACTCGTGATGTCTCTAGATCTCGAGTTGTTGGTCAAAGTATTTAAAACACCCAAGGTAATTCCTAAAGAACCTAAATTTGAAAACCCGCAAAGAGCATATGTTGCGATTAAAGTTCCTCTTTTAGACATTTCTTTATAAGGTGATTCGGTTATCAATAAGTTATAGGCAACAAATTCGTTTTGAATGACCTTAGTTCCAATTAGTTTGGTAACATGCAAAATTTCGTTTCTTGGAGTACCCAATAAAAATCCAATGGGGTATAAAATATAGGATAACATAAGTTCAAGGGTCAATTCATGAATATTCCAGTAGTTACCAAACCAGGTTAAAAGGCCATTGCATAATGCTACAAGACCAATGATACACATACATTGAATCATCATGGTACCTGCTATTCTTAAACCCAAAGTTGCTCCGTTGGAGAATGCCTGTAGAACATTTTTGGGTCTAGTGGCCTCGTCTTCCAGATGTGAAGGGATATTAAATTTACTGTTTGAAACTGGAACCTCAGTTTCAGGGTATCTTAACTTAGATACAGCTAACGATGCTGGAATGGACATAACACATGAACTGACAAGAGCTTGCGGGTTTAATCCAAGACCAATATAACCGACCAATACTGCCCCCGAAATAGTAGAGAAACCAGAACACATAATTTGATGAAGCTCAGCTTTGGTTAAGTATGGTACTAAATCTTTAATTAAAATGGCACTCTCACCAATACCAAGGAATGGAGATGCAGCTGCTGTAATTGCTTCAGCCCCGGAGACTCTAAGAGTCCAGAAAAAGAGATAAGCAAACTTTCCAATAAACCATTGAACAACTCCATAATAATACCAAATATGAATAAAGGCAACGAAAAATGCTACTGATGGTAGGACTGTGAAGAAAAACATGCCCAATTGTGAGACATCGGTTGTGGTTAAAAAGGCAACCCCGTCTTTAGCAAACCCTAAAAGCTCTCTAGCTAAAGTCGAAATGAAATTAAAAATATCGTATCCGCATTTCGTACGCAAGACAAATAAGGCAATAATAAACTGCATCAACACACCACCAATAACCGTATTCCACTGAATCTTGGTTCTGTTATTTGATGTCAAATACAACCCAAAAATCGCAACTACAATTCCGAAGAATGATACGGCACGATCTTCTCTGCGTGAATATTCGGTTTGAGTGGGAACAAATGTACCAAGCAATATAACTCCAATTGTAATGACAGCTCCAACCATCAATCTCCTTGGTCTGGTAGTCAAGATTTTAGTGTACATAATATCAGTCACAAAATACCAGACCTTCTGGCAATAGTGAAACAACACGTACAAAATTCTGCAATGCCACGAAATAAGCCTAACCATAAGTAAACCCCATAAGACAGTAGGAATTAACCATTCATGTCTATGCTTGTCTTGGATTAAAATCGAAAGCCACCATGCAGTGAAAAAACACCCCAACAAGATGTGGAAATAAAGTGTGTGACGTGGTACCCGTATTTTGAATTTCTTATACAACGACAAGTTAGCTTCGGAATTCACATCGCTCTTCGTCTTCTCTATGCCATCTCCAGAAAGTTTCTCAACATCATCCATTTGCATTTTTTCGTCCTGTTTAACATCCCTAACTACATCAGAGTCGTTAGAACTAACTGTCTCGATAATCTCGGACTGCTGTTGTGTCCCTGCCATTATTGTCTATTATATCTTCCCGAATACAGAATAAATGGTAGACCTTGAAAAATTTTAGTAGATTTCACTTTTTTTTTATTTCGTATTAACTATTAATTTTAAGTGTATTTTATTAAGAAATGTTCTTTAATGTCCTGCCCGGGGTACAATGACATAGATATAGACAGAAAAATGAGGAGACAAGGCACCGTATGAAGTTTGGAAACAACTAAGTCAAAAATTTATCTCATCATCAATTTTGTGTCATTAGATAAAAAGGTATACTTTCCTTCTAAATAATGTATATAAGGCAGCCAGTACCCTATACGGCTCTAATTTTCGCGTGCCGTTTGATTAAGAAAGAATGATGCATGGACTTATCTCTCTGAGGCGGTATCATATCTGTATTTGTCCTTAGATTCAACAATATGATTTGAATCTATTTCGTTGCTGATACCCATCAAGGCCTTCAGTAAAGCTTCAGACGTGCCAATCATCGGCCTAATGATTAGTATTGGTGAAGATTTCACCATAGATTTAAGAGACTCCTGCACGTTGGATGATGCATTAAGCTCCTTGCGTAGATTATTGACAGCTTTTTTAGTAATTTTGAAGTTTTCACCGAGAGACTTGTAGGCCAATTTAAGCCCTTGCTGCGTGTTTTCGGGCTGATTTGAATAAAGACTAACCAATTTAATGGCATCTTCATCATCCAACTCTTCCTTCTCATCGAGTTCCTGTAGTTCGCCTTCTTCGCTTACGACCTGGAGTTGCCTTGATTCTTTGATGTCCTTAGGATTCATTAACAATAGCGAATTCTCTAGAATTTTGTCATCAATATCATCAGACTCGTCTAATTCAATATACGAATATAATTTCTTCTTACCGTATGGATCGTTATCTACAGCAATACTTTTATTGAGCAATTGGGAAGAAGCTAATAAGTTGGTATTTCCTTTACTCGTATTGCTTGGAGTGTAGATATCTTCATTATCGTCATCTTGTATTTTTCCATGTTTGTCAAGCTTGTTCTTCGGAGACCTTGCTGACGATCCTTCTCCGCCAAACACCTCTTCTGATTGTTCCAATACAACCTGTGTACCAGAGGCCAATTTAGCACCCAAGTTTAGCAATTCGTAACCAGTAGTCTTAGCAAATTTCGAAGTTCCTTTCTGTAAGCTTCTCATTAGTCTACCATCTTTTCGATATTCTTTGATAGGCACCGCAACGAGATCTTTGAAACCGCCGCCTATATTGACTATGGATCTAAATGGGGATAATCCAGCGAGGAGCCCCGATAATTGGGTTTGTTGAATATTCGGTGCCCATGCTTTTGTTAGTTCTGCTCCTAGCATAGGCATTCCGAGTAGTCCATAAAGCTTTAGTTTTGGCAAGCTTAGTTCAGATCCATCCAATATGAAAAAGTTGACGAATTCCGATACCTTTCCAGACCTAATACCTGAATAGTCGATTTTTTTTGGTTTATAGTCCAACTTTAACTTTATGCTGCTTACCTTGAACATTTGAATATAGATAATTTCGTCTATAGGTAATTCAAATCTTTTATCCTTAAAATCAAAGAACCTTATAAAAAAATCTAATGCGTCCTGATCGACATGGAGTCTAATAGGCAAAATTGATATGTCTATCATAGCTTCAGTTGAACATAACTCAGGATTAGGTCTTACATTAGTAATTGATGCCTTAAGCATACTAGTCCCAATTTCCCGCTCTCCTAAGGAATTCATGTAACTTAAAAATTTGTTCCAGGTAGAATTGGGAATGTTGTCATATATATCGATATCTTCAATCCTTAAATCTATGGAATTAGTGACTTCATATTTCACATCAGGAACCTCCTTATCTCTTCTTGGGTCTCGTGTGGTTAGTATCGCCATATTGACTTCGATATTTTTTAAATCTATTGAGATTTTATGATTCCTAGATCGGCGTAACTTCAAATTCTTATAGTTTCTTCCAGTTTCAATGTTGCAGTTTATGCTCAGGTCATTTGAATCTTCATTATCAAAATAATTCTGAACAGATTTATTGATATTTTTAGTTAAACTTGAGGGATTGGAACCTCTCGGTACACTGAGATGAATCGACTGGAATAAAGTCTCGCCGATTAACAGTTGATTATCAGAGCTATTTTCATTATCATTTCCATCGTTATCTTCTGCAATATTATGTTCTGGCTCATCAAATGTAACTTGCATATTTTTTTTCAAATGTTTCCTAGACTCGTCTTCTTTTACCCTCTCTAATTCTTGCAACGCTTGAGCTTCAACTCTCTTAACAGCTCCTTTAATTGTTTTTCTAGTACCTTTCCAGTCAAACCCATCATATAAATAAATTTTAGTTTTAGAAAGATTAATATTCATTTTTATCGGAAATACTTCAGTATTGTATCGATCGGCACCATTACTACTAAAATGTTCTTCATCAAATGACAAAGAAGACGCATCGTCCTTTGCATTGTCGGATTCACTGATGCTTAGTTTATTAAAACCATTTTCAAGACTTTGTGACGAAGTATGCGAGTCGTCATAATACTCCTCAACAATATTAATATCATTTGCATTCGAATTTGCATCAGAACTCTTTCTAGATATTGTGAGATCCTCAAATGTATCCGAATTATTTGCTGACTTCGTTATTGATTCATTTATAAATTCATTCTCGCCTATCTCATTCAAAAGATTAATAGGATCATTAACCGTTACTCGTATCTTTTCTTCATCTGTGAAGCTTAACGGCGGCTTCAAATCATTTATCATTTGTATCAAAACATGCGCTGAATCTGCACAAAGATCGAGTTGGTGTTCATCTGAGTTGATCTTAATATCCAACAACGCTAGGTTATCTTGAAGACCCAACTTTTCATTTCTTTGAATAATTTCTTGAATTCCCGTGTTAACAGTGATCCCAAGATGAGTACAATTAATGTTACCAACTGAAATATACCCACTTGATGTGAACCACGATAAGGGAGAAACATACGCTGTATTTGTCGACTTTGAAGCAGCTTCTCTATCTGTCCTAGATAAGCTAATGTTTTTCGTATCATCAATAATTAATAATGACAAATTCCTCAATGAACTTTTGATATAAAATTGATGTAATCCAAAAGTTACGTCGGAATTACCCTTGTTTATAATTAACAAGCTCTTGCAATTCAACCTCCCGGGATTCAACCCAATTACACAATCGTATAACGAAAACCTAATATCAAGCCTTTTAGACGGTGAATTGAGGGAACTTGGTTCTCTCTTTTGGCCTGTAATATCATGTAGAACGGCATTTTCATCAATTTCTTTTTCCAATAATTCAAGCCAGCGTGTATAATATTCAATCAGGAAATTCCTTAAAGATATATCTATGATATTTGCTTTCTCGTTGCTTTTAATATTAACTATAATCAAAGGAATATTGATTTTATTATATTTTTTTCGCTGAAATTCATAAATAAAATCGTTTACAGCCTCTCCATTCCCTAAATTCCTATCAACTTTCAAAGTATGGATCGAACCTTGTATATCATTGTTGAGCTTGTAGAAACATATCTTTTCTAGTTGGAAATGAAAATCCCCTAATTTGGGTAAAACATTTGTTATACAGAATTCAATATGATCAACGTGTAATCTAAAAGACACTAGGTTAGAACGGCTTGTATTTACCAAACTAGGATTATTGAAGTTAGACCTTCTCGACCGTCTTTGATTAGAATACATCGAGTTCAGTAGCATTGAAGAACTTTCAGTCTTACTTGATTTACTACTTATAACAAATCCTTTATCTTTAACAGAATTTTTCAAAGAATTAACCTGCAACGATAATAATTGCCAGGATGATGCAAAATCAGCGAATTCCTTGATTAAAAGTTTCAATTCCTTTAGACTGGCTTTAGATGAGATTTTCGATAGACTCAATGTTAGGTTTGAACCAAGCATAGTTTCACGAGGGAATGAATCATTGCTACCATTAGAGTATCCGGATTTATTACTGAATGACTTAAACTCTTGCGATTTAGTAGATAATTGAATATTAGACAACGTAGATATTAGAGTTTCAATACCACTAGAAACAGTACTTATTAATATCTTGTTAATACTCATACCTTGTTTTAACAAATTAAATGAGATAGGATATATAGTAGCTTTCAAATCCAGGTTATCGGAAAGTTTAACATTTATTGTAGTTGACGCCGTTTGTAATATAATCTGAAGATTTGATTCTTTCGCTACTCCAATTGACGAAACATCTCTGGCTTCCCTATTAATGTTCACTGAATTCATTGTAGATCTCATTGTATTATAACTGTCATAGATCGACGATACAGAAATGCCAAAATTCAATAGTAAGAGCAAAGTAGACTTATCTAAGTTTACAAAAGCTTGTTTTGAAAATAAACTTGTAAACTCTAGATGTTTTATTTCATTTTCAAATTTCGTAAAAACTTCAAAACGAACATCAGCCTTAGAAGAATTAGAAGGTGCTGATGTTGATTCAGTAGATTCACCTGGTGATTTTGGTTCTTTATTAGTTGGTGGAGTGCTATTATTAAACCTAAGTACCTCAAATTCCTGGTTATTAGTAATTTTGACAATTTTGAAGACTTCAATACCACCGTAAGTAAGTGCTTCATTTTTATATTTTATATTAAGGTTGTGAAAAATAAAATTAAGTGAATTAGACGCAGATGCAAATTGTCCTGTTGGTAACAAAGCTGATGTTGCACTTACTATAATGTTATGTATCCGGAGTCTATCAAAAAAGGGATCTGAGGAAGCTCCATTATCATCTAATATTGGCATTTGTTCATTTTCATCTTCTATTTCATCATTGTCATCAGCATATTGGGGGAAACTTAAGTTTGATTTAAATCTTTGTTTATGCATGTTCAGTTTGCGTTGCTGGTAATACTTTAATTTAAGATTATGTGATATATTATTGAAAATTGATATTATAGTCGGTGTTATGGGGACTGCTGCAACTTTGACTTCACCTACATCAATTTCTAAATTTTTAATATTACTTAGTCCCTCGAATTCAATATCTATATCATCAATATGTAGTAATATTGGCGATTCTTTGTTTTCTGGTGTAGTCTCTGTATGTATCGTGTCATCGTTATTGCTCGGTTTGTTAAAAGATTCGGATGTTGCACTCATATAAATTGAGCTAGCTTCATCATGAGTAAATACCATGCTGTTCATTAGAGATTCATCACCGTAATCATTATCGTTATCTTCGTCATCGTCAGAAGTATTGCTGTTTTCTGATTCTTGCTCCGGGTTATCATCTGAAAATTCACCAGGGTTCACCTCAGGCTTCAAAGTAATCAATTTAACACCCTTAATCTTGACATGTCTTGTGCCGTTAATAGTATTTAACAACGCCTCCTCAACCTTTAAGACTAAATCTGTCGATTCTGAGACTATCTTGATATTCAAATTAGTTACCTTAACTTGCAACCTCAGCAAAGCCATTTCGACCGCTCTAGTCATAACTCCACTTAAAGCAGATGGCCTTGTTCTTGCAGACGAGCCGGAAGAGCTTGAATTTGATCTGGATTTAGACGACACTGAAGGCATCACCGTATCTGCATCGTCTTCGGATGATTCATTTTCGTTGGATAATTTATCAATCATCAAAGTATTGGCAAGATCAGCCGTACTTTGAGCTAACAGAAATTGAACATTATTACTAATTTCTTCTTTCATATCAAAATCTGGGGCAATGACAATTTCCACGTTATTAGCATCAATGCTAACTCCACCCATGACTCCTCCATTCAATTCTAAACTACCCACTTGTCCATATCTTAAGTTACAGCCAGGTAATTTACCTACTTTTTCAGGGTCTATGGATACATTTTTCAACACAATATTATTTAATGATACCTCTTCCAAGTTAGGTAAATCAATCTCTGAAAACAATGAAAGCTGTTGTAAAACATAAAGCAAGAGTCTTTTCTGAATATTTTGCGGCATCCATTGTGGACTCATTTTGCAAACAAATTCGATATCCCTTTATGTCTACTGTATTAATGATGCAGCTTTATCAGGATTACTAAATAGTTGATATAGTATAGTGGATTATTATGTGAGGGAAGTGATTAGATAACGATAAACTAGCCGCCACATTAAACATCCTGTATATAACACATTATCATAAACTAGCTGGCTATTTACAAGTATTTAGTCATAGATTCTGGATTAGAAATACACCTTCAGAGGGAGGTTGGGATGGTTAGGACGTACCAAACGGTACTGGGTTCCAGTTCGTATGCTCTTCAAATAAGAATATAGGCTTAATATGAATTGCGGTCTTTTGCTTTTTTGAGGGTCTTTCAGATGATTCCTCTGATATAGCACCATTTAGTATATCATCCAATGATGGTGGGGCCGCAAGAGATTTAATTTTGGTTTGCTTGCATAATGCGGTTACTTTAGAGGACAAATCCTTTTTACTTTGTGAGTTCGGTTGCAATTTTTCAAGCGACGATTGTAGTACTTGCATGAATTCAAGCTGGTAAGTTATATCGACTTTTTGAATGTTATAAATCATTAAGTTCACAAGTCCCTCATATGAATCACAGTCGTATATCTCTGAAGTCACAGTGCGAACTAACAAGAGATCCAGAATAAGAAACGAAGCCCACTCTTTAATTTGTTTTATCTCATCGTCATGCTTGAATTCAAAACCGAGTTTCATATCTAATGATTGAATATCATCATTTATATATGCATTTAAGGAACTGAAAATATCGAATAATAACTGCAATTTGAAATCAGTCCCAAACTCTTCTATGAGTGGTTTATATAGTTTAATGAGTAAAGAATTAAACCTGTACTTTTTAGATTCCTTAGCTTGAAGTTTATCGTGGTTATAAATTAAAAAATTCTTAAATACTAGTGTTTTAATAAGAACTTCTGGGTCCCCCAGTAAGGGACCTTTTAGATTACCAATTGCTTTCCAATATTTTATACCTGACTCCGAGGAATTTCCAAATTTAATTACTAGACTTAAATCCTGCTTCCGAATTTTCTTGAAAACTTTCAAATTTGTAATGCAAGACTCAATAATGGGTGTGACTCTATTTATCTCTAATTTTTCACCCTCATTGTCTTCGGATTCTTCCAAATCGTCCGTCTCTTCGACGTGATTCCAGTAATTGTCGTACAACCAATTTAAAGCCTGTCTACTTGCTATTCTCAAAATATTTAAATTGGGTAATAATTCGTGTGTTCCCATATGTCTTAATTCAACAAAAAAACTAGGAAGATTTAGGTTCTTTGCTAACTGGTGTAGTGGTATCGCAAAATTTGATTGTTGAAATGGATCTAGCAACCCATTAACATATCTGATAAGAGCCATCGTATAAGATAATTGTAAAACATTCGAGTCATTGTTAGACCCTCCTTCACTGGGATCAGTTAATATGATAGAAGTTAACAATGATGTCGACTCTACTGCATGGGGTAGTTTCCCTCTCGACGATAATGCTTTTACTTTCTGGATCGCTCTATATCTATGATCTCTCGAATCATCAAAATTATAAAACCAGTTTTTTAGGATAATTAGCTCTTGTATATCTCTATAACATACTATAGTCGGATTTCTCTTCAACCTTTTCGTGGATGACATGGCTATAAGTGTCAAGAATTTAGAGATGAGCTGAATAAATTCCAGCTATAATTTCACTTTTGTGTCATTTTAATGCAACCTATTCTACGCCTGGAGTATATGAAAAATAGCTAGTAATGCCCCCCCCTCTCCGTTGCGATATAACAGGCATACAGACAATATTTCATATTAACCTTGTGAGTTTAGCTGTCGTATGCCATTAGGAAAAGTTTTGTTTTATCTAGAAAGCTGATACTAGTTTCAGATACAACGAAGAATTTGCTGGCACGACTAAAATATTTGCATTTGAGTATAATTTTAGAAGAAGACCTTTCATTCTCGTTTTTCGTCGCTCATGAAAGTCCAGGAACTGATACTCTATTATGAACTCATCATGGATTTGTATTTTGGTTCTCTGATAAAGATAATAGGCGAGTTATAAAGAGTATCACGTGCATACACTATCAAAAATGATTCTTCCAACCCAAAGGCTTGTAGTAGGAAGCCAGGTGAAGTCAAAGCGATGTTAAGAGATATAGGATGAAAAAGAATAGAGTAAGAATCCCTAAATCATGTTCAGTCTGTCGAGTGAAAAAGATCAAATGTGATAGGAAGACACCTTTTTGTGGGAGCTGTTCCGAGAATAATACAGGTCATTTATGTAAGTACGATCAAACGGCATGGTTGATGGAAGGTCCCGCTGATAGCTCTTCTACAACGAGCTTACAAAAAGAGATATTTAAATTGAGGTCAAGGATAACAACACTTGAAGCGAGAATAGAGAAACAACTGATTGGTTTGGGCTCCCAGCTGCTGAGTTTCTCTACCAGTAGCTCGCCTTCATTGCTCGAAAGCAACGAACAAGGCAGTAAAAAACAAACAGAAGAGCATCTGATATTGCATGCAGATGAAAAATCGGTTAATATGAGTGTTAAACACTTGAGAATGTGTTATTTTGGACCTACATCGACTACGTTTCTTATGATAAACGATAAATACACACCCGAATTGTTTTCAGATTACATGGCAGACCAATTAAAGAAGTTCAAATTGAAGAATACGTTTCTTGAGTTCCAAGATGATCGAATATTCAATGAAGATTCCGTGCCTGACAGCTGCGTACAAACAGAAGCTGTGATTGAGGATTTTCCGGAGCTCCCGTCGCTCAAAATTGTTAATGCATTAGTGCAAAGGTTTTTCAGGGTGTGTTACAAATTTGCGCCGTTCTTTGATGAGAAGATATTCATGAATGAAATATGCCTTATCTTTAAGAACAAGCAACATATTTCACAAGAGGACATAGTTTACAAGAGAAGCACAATCTCCATTCTTTTAACTATGCTCAGGTTTGCCTACCTTACATTACCATTAAAAGGGCACCATATAAATTCGTTGCTGATATCCGATCGTGGCTTGGTACAAGATATATTGAGATGTAATGTAGATATCTCGTCTTCTTATGTTGAATACTCGAAAAGGCTCATGATCAATCCTGGTAGTCTCCAAAAAATTGATTTCAGGAAAATCCAAGCAATTTTATTACTACGTGTGTACCACATGCAAAGTCCCGAGAATGACAATCTAGCAGTAGACTTGAATATTTTAATTTCTACGGCCGTGCAGATGGCTAGATTTCATGGGCTTCATAAAGACCCGACTAACCTTAAATTGCTTGATTTGGATAACAACGATATCCATTTATGGAGAAAAATTTGGTCCTTGTTAATGTATTTTGATTCGCTACAAGCTTTTGATTTAGGGGTGCCCATGCTAATACACGAGGACGAAGTTGGAACTCATCCACCATTCACTAATTTGGAGTGTGAGCAACTCTGGTTGCCTAACGAAGAACTAAAACTAGAGAAATTTTTTAGACTTAATCACATGGCCTCAAGATTAATCAGACGTGCAGTCCTCTTGACGCAAGCTAACCTGGGGGTAAAGATAATCGAAATTGACAAATTGATCTCAGAGTTTGAAGACATGCTCAATAATAAAATGAGAGCATTCGATCAATTATATTCAGCTAACATGACCGATACTGTACTCGAATTTATGCTCCGCATGATGTTGATGAGAAAACTATTCTCCTTAGCATATTTCTGTTTCATTAGTTTAGGTGATAACGGAAAAAAGTATTTACGTATTGTAATCGAAACAGGGTTAAATATCATCAGAGTAGGCTATGAATTTGCAAAAGGTCCTACTACTGTAACATGTATGGAGTTTGAGACAGTAGTTGCTCCTTTGATATGGAACCCTGTAAAGGTTGTGCTCTTACTTATAAGTGGAGTTTTAATCAGAAGCTTAAAAGGAGAAATCTCAATAACAGAAGCTGTTACGAATTTCAAATTAGGCGACTCCTCCAGTACTCTAGCATGGATTCAAGTATACGGCGAAAATGAAAAAGATACTCTCCGTGGTCTAATTCTGAAGTTTGAAGAATATCACTTAATGAGCACTAAGCTCTCAGTACGCTATTTTGATTGCTACCATATATGTATTACATTAAAGTACTTCATGAATTATTTGCGTAATAACAATGCTGAAATTTTGCAGCCTCAACCTGAAGCACTTAGAAACTCCTCCATTTTAGAAAATGAGTCAACATTAAGAGCAGATGTAAACTCTGCGGCCATCAATGACTTCTGGAATAAAGATACACATTACGAAGCGACCTTTGACGAGTTTTTGTCGTTTCTCAATTATAACACTGATCCCTTTTTGAATGACCTTTAAGTTCAGTATACGGCAATAGAGAAACTCATTTCATGTAATTATCCATCCTGTAGCCTGCATTTACATTTTATTGTTGGATTTAAGATGCTATGTGAACCTTTTATAAAGAAGGATGAAGATAAGTTCTGCACTTGGATTTCGTATAGACGTTTTTGCACCCAACCAATCGATCACAAGTTGATAGCAGAGAGGACTGCACACGAAATAAGCAAACCGCAATTAACGGGTTTATCTGAACCGTCGTTAAGGGAGTTAAATTTAAGGCGCCATAAATAGTTTATCTCTTTACTGCGCGAATATCAATACCGCAAATAACGGTGTTATCTCATCCGCAATTAACGGAATTAAGTTAAACCGCGTTATTGTCTTAAAATATTAGTTAAGTTATTTCATTATTCAAGGTTTGATTAGAAATAAGGCAGTTAACTGGCGACAGTATAAATACGAAAGATGTTGTCTGCAATTTCCAACTTGGAGCAGAATATATTAAAAAAGAAAAATTAGAAATGCTAGCACCAAGTCTCTCGTGGGCGGAAACAAAACAATTACTTTCAATTTTCTGGCCTCCCAAACCAACTTTCCTTCCTGCTGAATACCCAGATTTAGCTGGAAAAGTAGTGATTGTTACTGGTGGCAATACTGGGGTTGGTTATCAAACTGCTAAATTGATGGCTGGTGTCTGTAATGCAAAGGTATATATTCTCTCTAGAAATGAAGAAAAAACAGAACTAGCAATAGAGAACATACGAAAAGAAATCAGGAAAGAGCATAATAAGGACGTGACGTTACAATTTATTAAACTTGATTTAAGTGATTTGTCCACGATCAAGCAAACTGCGAACAATTTCTTGAAAGAAGAAGATAGGTTAGATATTATTATTCATAATGCAGGTGTCATGACTCCTCCTATGGGGTCCAAAACAGCTCAAAATTATGATTTACAATGGGGTACTAATGTTCTCGGACCATTTTTATTGCAAAAGTTATTGGACCCGCTTTTTATCGAAACTTCTGAGAAAAATCCACCAAACTTAAATCGTGTTGTATGGGTTTCCTCTACTGCTCATTTAAGTGCTCCTGATAAAGGGGGGATTTATTGGGACGATGTCAATTTTGAAGATCCTTCGAAAAAATATGCAAATGGTGAAATATATGGCCAATCTAAGGCTGGTATTATTATGAATGCAATCCAGTGGTCAAGAAGATATTCCAATGGGAATATAGTTTCAGTATCATTATGCCCTGGGGGATTAAAAACTGAATTACAAAGGCATTTACCAGGTTTTGTGAGGTCGATTTTGAACTTGCTTATGTATGATGCAATTTTTGGTGCATATACTGAGATGTTTGCGGCTGTATCCCCTGAAGTAACAGCAGAAAATAATAACCATAGAATGATTATTTCTTTTGGTAGATTTGGTATAATAAGAAAAGATGTTGAAGAAGGTGCGAATGGTGAAAATGGAGAGAAGCTTTGGAACTACGCCGAGGAACAGGTTTCAAAGTATCTCTAATTCGATTTTCGTGGATTTATTGAGGAATTACAGCATTTAAATTGTTGTCCATTTACTGATTTAACCAAAAGCTGATAGAAGTATGCTAATTTCATTTTTAAAAGATTTTCTTCAGANTGTTTATAACCAAAACTATTTGATTATCCCGTTTAGGTTGTATATTGGGTTGATTAATAGAATGATATAATTGGGGTGGAAATATCGTGATAGTAAGAATATTATATGAATTTATGTAAGATTAATATAAGGTACAATAATGAGAGTGAGTTAATGAAATATGCTATCTAAATCATTAGTGAGATGAATGATTATTGCATAATAAATCAAGAAGAAAGATCTAAAACTGATCAAGTAGGTCGAGTTCTAATTTAAAAGGAGTATGAATTTGAGATATATAGTATACAAAGGTCAAGAGATGGTGAGAAAGTTTTTTGGTAGAGAGTTATATCGATCGATGAAAAGGAGTTGATTAATATATTGAAGTATTTATTATATAATGGTAGGATCTAATACGGGGATATAGTTCGAGAAGTATTATAGTTATAATGAACAAAGTATGTGAATTATTGTAGATGAGATATTTAGGAATCATATTATTAAGAAAAGACATGAGTGAAAATTATAATATGTTTAATACAAAGTCCCCCACACTTGGATGACACCAGAGTTTCAAAGATCCGTTTTAGGTTCTGTTTCAATGAGCATTGTTATTGAAGTCCAACAAAATCGTTATGAAACCATGGTAATTCCTATCTACATTGATGATAGAAAAGTACAGATATCGTCACATGCGCCAGCATATATTTGTATTAGCCAATTTATGTAGCTCGCTCAAAAGTCCGAACAACCAAATATAATGTTAGTATCCCCGGTTATCAAATTGACTGTATAATTGCGATAGTAAAATTTCGACGAACAACAAATAAATTCCGCCTCAAAATTAGGATCTACACTTATCAAGTGGAAGATCCCCACTAAGTTCAAGGCTGGCTGAGTTACAATATAGTTTTTTTCACAGTGTCGAACACAAGAATGTGATTTTCTCAGACATTTACTCCTTAAGATGATAGGAGTTTGCTACATTATAGCATGAACTCCGAAGAAGGTAGATCTAATACGTTGTAGTCATTACTTTTACAGAGGGAAAATGTTGCTCTCCGCAACATATACACGTAACACATTGAGATATCAATTAGTCTGTACCTTTATTTCGTTCAAGTATAGAATAAATTTCTTGCATCAAGTTCTAAACTCCGGAAGAGTGCATCAATAGATAATCCTTTAATGAAGAGATGTGGGGCGATTCTATTATACATACATCTATGCATCAGACTTAGACACGTACACCAATTTTACTACCCCAGTTTTGATAATGTTTCTCTTCTACCTATTGTAAGGAATAATACGCATACAGATTCGTAACCATAATATAACTTAATGCTAAGCGTAAGTGCTTGATACCCGCCCTGGTTCTTAAATCCTGAGGAAGTGTTTCCGAAATTTTTTGAATATCCGTAGACTTTAACTGCAAAATCGCAAGAACATCAGCATGGGGGTAATCAGCAATGACTGATCTAAGAAATGTTGTATCCTAAACGAAAACTAGCTATTGTTTCACTTAGTATCTTGCTAAATCTCCTCAATCTACTCATATTCAACCTCTTGGAATAGGCGTGGGTGTTCATCTCAAAGGTATATATATATATATATATCCTGATTTTACTTTGCAAAAAGTATCTTGAGATAAGACTAGCACAGAATTGATATGACATCGACGGATTCCATAGATTTAAAGGCAAAAGTTTCTCATGAGAGCTATCAACCCAGCAAGGTTGTTATTTGTGGTGACGGGGATGAGTTTATACGTCTTGAGGACAAGATGTTTTACAGGCATGAGTGAATGACTGCCTTTGGAGGTACCTTGAACCCAGATAGATATGCTCCATATCCTGTTCATCAGTTTGGGAATGCTGCAGCAGTGGGGTTGGCTGGGTATTCCCTTACAACTTTTGTTCTTGGGCTATATTACAGCGGTGCCATGGGGATTGAAGTTCCTAATGTGGTTTTTGGTTTAGCCATGTTTTATGGAGGTACTGTTATGTTCTTATCTGGATCTTGGGAGCTTGTGATTGGTAACAGCTTTGCTGGAACTGTATTGACTAGTTATGGATGTTTTTGGCTTGCATTTGGAAGCATTAATATCGAGGCTTTCGGTATTGCTGCAGCATATGCTGATGAACCGAAACAACTTGCTAATGCAACTGGGTTTTTTCTTATCGGCTGGCTCATTTTCACATTCTTGATGACTTTATTGACTGTAAAGTCGACTTTATTGTTTTTTATGTTATTTGTTGTATTAGATATCCTTTTTGTAGTCTTAGCAGCCGCAAATTTTACTGGCAGTGCTGGAGCACAAAAGGCAGGTGGTATCATTGCAATTATTGCCGCACTATTGGGTTGGTATAACGCATTTGCTGGTGTTGCAAATAAGCAAAATTCTTATATCATTGCCAATCCGATTGCAATGCCTATATTTGGAAAATCTCAATAGTATAAAATACATGTCGCTGGCGATAAAACATTCAAAATTCTGGTCTGATGAATCACACACATGCTTTCTCTTGAACTAGAGACAATTCATATGATATAATTTAGAAATACAATATATCGAATACAAGTATTGCTCACATACTTCAGATTAGAAGGTGGGTTTTAACTGGCGTAGCCATCTTCTTTTTCTTAAACGGTCTTTCATCATTTTGCCAGGACTTGAATCATTTTCTAGTTTACCCAAGGAGGGGTATAGCTAGATATTTAATTCACAATGGCTTATTAAGAGTAAGCATCATAAAATATAAGTCGTTCTTATCTTTTGAACTAGGCCGCAGCTCTCAAAAGAATGTTGTAGCTGCATGATAAATTATGTCGTTATAATCAAGTTTTCAAAACCTCCAGAGGTGTGAATTTTTATTTTCCACACATTTCACAACAGTACAAAATACGAAGCGCAATAGAATCTTAATTTGTTTTACCAACTCTTCATTTTCTAACTAAACTCAACATTCTTGTTTGATTCTTGCTACTCACGAATGCAAATAATGCAAATAGTACGCTCTACTTTAATAGAACAGAAATTTTCTACACACGATTTGTAAAGAGTAATGTATTGAATGCACTTTGTAGATTTCACTATAGGCTTTCCTTTGTTATAAGTGAAAGTAGACGATACTAACTTCTATTACTGTTCTTATTGTGCGTAACTCCGGATCTTTGCAGATAAGCTTAGCGATCGCATTTAAAGGTATATGCAATATTCTATCTTTTATTATGCTACATCTTCCGATTATCTAACATTTCCCCCCACCGTTATATTTTAATGGCTTTCTATAATGCGACTGATGAAGGTTGGTAGTACCTAACTCCATTCTAACGAATAATTTGATTTTACCAAAGTGTAATCACGATTCAATTAACTTTCTATTTATACATCATCATATGTTGTTGTATACCCATAGCAGTCATTTTGTGAAAGATCTCATTAAGCATTTGAAGGTTTATCCGAAACTCTTTTTTTCTCTCCGTTCGCAAGAATGTTTCTTTTCTAAATTCTAAGCTCCGAAGATAATTAAAAGGTGTTAAATATCGGAGATACGTGAATTTAACAAACAAAATGAAATTGGAGTAATTCGTTATTTCGATGGTTTGAATTTGTTCCACATGCCCGATGTTCTAAAATCCTGCGATACACGGTATAACTGCAAAATATTCTCTAAACCCCAACATTACTATCTCTATAAGTCACTGCCGGATGATTGTTTGTGCAGCTTATATATATATATGTACATCTCTATCGTTTTGATTCACCTGATATGTCAAGAAATAAAATCAACTAAGTAAAGAATATGACATCAACAGAATCAATAGAATTGAAGGGTAGAACGTCCCATGAAAGCTTCCAACCCAGTAAGGTGGAACTTTGTGGTGATGGAGAAGAGTTTATAATAATTGGAGATAAAAAGTTTTACAGACATGAGTTGATGACAGCATTCGGTGGTACAATGAACCCAGACAGATTTGCGCCATATCCTGTTCACCAGTTTGGGAATGCAGCAGCCTTGGGACTCGCAGCTTTTGGTCTTACAACACTTGTACTTGGACTATATTATACTGGTGCTATGGGGATCGCAGTCCCTAACGTTGTGGTTGGATTAGCTTTATTCCATGCTGGAACTATGGATTTTTTGACAGGTATTTGGGAACTTATCATAGGCAATACCTTCGCAGGAACAGTCTTGACCAGTTATGGATCTTTTTGGCTTGCATTTTCCACTCTATTTATTGAGTCGTTTGGGATCATTGATGCCTACGCAGACGAACCTGAGCAGCTAGCAAATGCTACCGGTTTGTTTCTCATTGGTTGGTTTATTTTCTCAATGTTAATGACTTTAATGGCCGTGAAATCAACTGTTATGTTTTTATCCTTATTTGTTGGGTTGGATTTCACTTTTCTTCTTTTAGCTATTGCTAATTTTACAGGTAATGCTGCACTTACGAAGGCGGGTGGTGTCTTTGCTATTATCGCTGCACTTAGTGGTTGGTGGTGTGCATTTGCGGGTACAGCTAATAAGCAAAACTCCTACTTTTTAGCTAACCCTATCCAATTACCTGTGTTTGGAAGTAAGAAATAAATACATATTCGAAAATGACTTTAATCTAATATTATCATAATTCATCGTCAATCTATATATATATATATATATTATAACCTATATTCCAAGCAGGTTTATTAATTGATTTTGCTCGTACGACATCTTCGAACTCTCTATGGTATGTAAACTGTACGTAGAAGGGCTTAATAATGTTGAATTCTCGTTATAAGGAAATTTCAAGTTATTAATATCATCTTTACCGCTATCACCATACTTGGAGTCACAACTAATAATCACCACGCCTATTAACACCCCAACCAAACCAAATATAACCATTGATAATTGTCCATATGTCATTCTATGGTCAGATAGTAGTGAATTGAACACTAAGTCATTAATAAGATTCACAAGGTTGAAGACCAAGAAGCATAATGGATATAATATTGAAGTGGATATTTGGGTTAGTCCTAAATTAAATGCTGTTAATTGACAAGCAATTATTGCTAGCATTATGATTAGTAACAAATATGGTGTGAAGTTACTTGACTGGAATATATTACTGAAACTGTGCTTATCACGTAAGATTATTTCTATGACCACATCAATCAATGATTTGGCAAACAAAAATGTATGAGCCGTTAAAGTTCCTGCTATTAAACCGTAATTAACCCCCATAGTAAATTGGTACTTAGAAAGCAATGTAGTCTGTAACCTACTCCTTCTTTTTCTTAATCTTTTCAAATTCTGCTTCCTGCGTGAGATGATTAAATTCAAAAGAATTAATACTGCAATCACAACATAGGTGGTCATAAACCACCCAAGAAATGACTTACGCGTTAACTTTTCCAATATTAATTTAAATTCTTTATTCTTATTATCATCTTCGGGTGCTGGTTCCACATTACCATTGAATGCTACGATGAACGCCCCATTAGCTATAACCATAGTTCCTATCGCTAATTTTTTGGTGAACTTTTCACCTGGCAATAGTAGACAGCTTAAAATTGCATTGAATATGAGTCCGATGCTCTGTAATGGTGATAAAATTATCAACGGCAACGTAGTAAGTTGTATCAATGATCCAAAAACGTTTGCAATTATAAATAACATAAAGCCCAAAAACCACATATTTCTTTTATATCTCTGATGATAATGGTGATTGTGGCCAATACAGTGTGTTAATAAATGTGATTTTCTTTGCAATGTAATACCTAGTGATTGAATCGCCGATGATATGATAGCTACAGAGCATCCGAGTATGATACCGGATATTGAACCATCCGAATCCTGTACCATTTTAACACTCCCTATCACTCTCTATGTAATTCAAATACACAGAAACTTCTTCTTAGTTCTTGCTACTTATTAACTTAATGATAATATATGATAATGGGTAGAATCAACGCTAAAGAACACGATACTAGAAGTACTCTGATGTTGGCTAATTAATTATCAGCCTTATACTGTACTATCTGCAGGGATGATTATTGTTTACATTTCACGATAAAGCTTCATGAAGATTACGTATTAAGGAAGATCCATAACCATGGAAGATACGATACTGGAGATCATAGATCACCTTGATTCAACACATATTGATGATTTAATTCAAGGAATCGTGAAATTAGACGAAGTTTTATCTCTGCTATTGCCATACATAACAGCTTCCAGGAAAAATCCTCAGGTGCCTAGAAATGTCAAATTGGCTAACTTCATCAGCCTTCAAGACAATTTCCAATATAACATACCTAGCCATCTTATCCAGTTTTACAAGGTCATATGGGATGATATTGGGCGCGTTGACATAAACATTATCTTGACTTGTAACAGGCTACTACAGGGCTTGCTCTTGCTCCATCCCGAATCCAGAAAAATATTCAATAGACTGAACAATATGAATACGATGCTTAATTTTGTACGAATAACCGATGGCGGTGATGACAAACCTCATCTTCCCATTGAGGTCACCATTTCGTTTATTTCTACTTTGATCCACATACTATTGAAAGATTTGACCAATTTTCGAGTATTCGAAGAGAACAATGGATGTTCAATCGTCATAAAGAAACTACAATTATCATCTTTTCCGCCACATAAAGATTCACAGCCGTCAAAACAACAGGAACTTAATTTCAAAGTTATCGAATTTTTGATTTTCTACTTGATCGACGAAAATGAAATTACATCCACTAGCAAGAGAAGAACAACGCAAGAGAAGTCTGAATTGTTCCGCCCCTATTTCCCAGAGATAGATAGCTTGGTGGAGAGTCTAAACGACCTAAAAAATATATAGTCTATCACATGTACCAACTAGATTACTTTATTCCATCAAAATTATCTGCATAACTTAATACTTATTCTCTTCTTGTAATGGTATGTTTACTTACGATCTAATGCCATTATCGTGTATAATATACCCTATATAGCCTTATATATGTCTATGATAGTATTAATTGTAGTATCCTGCACATACTTTAGTTCAGAAGACCATCAGAAAGTGTGTTTATTATGGCTACAGAAACAAACATTGGTATAGAATAGATTAGGCTTATTATACAACATCTAGATGTATACATACATGGAATATCTCCAGAAATGTTTTTATAAATCCACAAACTGGAATGAGGATAATATTTTCTCTAACATAACTGCTACATCCCTGGCATTGTTGGAATTTCCCATTCCTAATGGGTGTAAACTAGATTTATCATCGAAAGCTACGGAACATCTGGCTTCGAGTTTCACATTATCGAACTATCATTCAATAAATGGTTCATTGGCATATTTATATTCTTCAATTCCTCTAAGGAATACAATGGGTACTAAAGACATTTCATTACAGGATGCTATTTCTGGATTCAAAATGCTTGAACTTAACCCGTCAACAACAAATGCGTTACAAAACCCAGTATACAAGAATACACATGATTCATTGTTATATGGTCGAATGTACTTTCCAGGTTCGGCATTGGAAGCCATGATTATTAAGAGGATCTCACCGCAGACGCAATTGTTGATTAAATGTATCAATAATCCACATTTGGATAAGAATGGGACAATGATCGTCTACTTACAGAAAAACGCACCAAAGCTACTGAGAGAATTCATATATTCTACAAACGAAGCGCTATTTGGTTTCCGGTGTTTGTACAACATGGGCAGCCTGGAATCGAATTTGAACAGGTCCATTAACAATTCGAATTTGATTCCAAAGTTTGATAATTCGGTTATATCCATAGGTACAGAAATATGGTACGCCGCATTAAGTATGAGTCCAGGGTTGTCCACAGCATTTAGATATTCGACTAGGTCCACATCTACAGGAAAACCTTTGACGATGACATTGGCTTGTAACCCGATTTTGGGGCATATATCCTCAGCCTATACCGTCAAAACGTCAGTTGCCTCCACTTTTTGCTCGAAATATGATTTTAATGTGTTCTCATATGCTAGTAATCTTTCGTTGGGGTTTGAAATATATAATTATTCTAGCAAGAATACGTCTAATTCTGCTGCTCCACCGCGTATCAAAGATAACGATTCACAAGTTTTGAGTAATAATCACTCCGATACCAAGGGTACAGTACATATACGATCTCCAGACGTGCTAGACTACAAGAACCATTCTAATAACAAGCAAAATGTTATCATAAGTCCAATTCAGACGCTTGATAACTATTATCATATAAACCCCACATTACTACCTTCTGCGAAAAACGAGTTTGAGGAGGTAAGACCATCACCACTCGAAAGCCAAGTTGATTCTAATAACGAGACCGCAATGACTGCGTTCGAAAATCTTGTTAACGAAAGTGACTTCTCGAGTGTAGTCAAATTGTCAACCAGTCTAAACGATAAAATGTTAAAGCTCTTATGGAAGGGTAGATGCAAAGACTTTTTGGTTACTACAGGAGTCAAAATGATTTTGAACCCAGTTACGAATACCCCAGAGTTTAATAGATTCGGAATAAGCTTCTCGTACGCTTGTTGATCACCCTTGTATACCATTGTATAGTATTATGTATAGATAGTGTTTTCCGGGTAAATCAATATTCTTACCTTTTGATCAAAATTACACAAAACTGACCTATAACAATTTTTTTGAAAATTTCAACATAGAGTATTCGAATTAAGGCTTCATACAACATCAATAAAATGAAGAACCAAGAGCTTTATAACTTATTCAAGAACTCTAAGTTAGCTCAGGTTGCTACTCCTTTACATAAAACTTTGAGAGGACGTGACAATGTACCAAGTCATCAAATAATCTATACGCCAAAATCTAGTGCTATTAGATCAAACTTCGGTATCAAGACAGCGTTGCCTAAACAGATTGGATTTTCTCATATTGTGTATAATGACATCGATAACCCTAAAAATATGCCAGATGTTGAAAGTTATTCGGGTCCATTATATAATAGGTTGAAATTCCAAGAAACGGGAGTTGCAGTGAAAAACTATTTTAACGAGAACAATCCATTATTTCCAAGCAAGACTACCAAATCTACTGATACATCTACCTCTCAATTGGACAGTGTCTTATCCAAGTTCAATTTAACTAACAATGCTACTGGAGCTGACGTTAAAAGATTACTTCAAAAAAATCCAGATTTATATAAGAAATTTCAAGCATGGTTAGTTAAGAATAGCCCAGAATCGGTTATGTCTAACATACCATCCAAGATCGTTAAGTTGTTGAAAGAATTTTTATCTACAACATCGGGTATTAAAAAGCAGGAACTCAGTTTGATAGATTTATCAAAGAAAGAAGGTAGAACTACTAACAGGGCACCAACTAATAAGATTCAAGGTACAGGAGGATTCTCATATACCCAAAAAGGTAGACTAGCTAATTCTCCAAATGGTATCAGACATGGCTCGATAGCCCCTGGTAGAATGGTTGGTGATAGAGAAGCAGCCATCGGTGGATTCGTCGCTAGTGTTAATGACCGTACAACCTTATTGCAAAACAACTACTCTAAAAATTACCCTGGTAAACATCCAAGACAATTCGTAATGCCATTTAAGATTAATGAAGCCGAAATTACCGAAAACGGTAGAGTTAAGGTATATGCAGATGGTATCAAGGTTGGTTCTTGGATGCAAAGAACTAACAACAATAATGAATTTATTGATAGATCTAATTATGAGGCCTCTAATCCCAATTTCGGCAGTGCCTCTGAAAGAAACAGTAAAGATAACATTCCATTGGAAAGCTTATTAAATTTAATAGGAAATTCTAAGAAATAGGCATTTTATTGATCTTTCGATTCTCATGTATATATATATTTACAAATAATTTAACCTGTTATTATACAATATTTATGTAGCCAAGGAAGTTTCGCTCTTAAATCCATCAGTGGATGGCTTCTTATCAGCAGAATTAGTTTCTGAGCAAGGGTTATGATTTTGGTTTTCACTCAACATTGTAGCTGGAACCGGACCTGACGTTGGAACTGCTAGTTCAGTTTTATTTTTCTTTGGTTTTGGTTCAGACCCCTTTTCTTTTTGTTTACGTTTTTTTGCACTAGAGGTAGAACTCTGAGTACTTGTAACACCTTGCATTTTCTTTTCTTCGTGGTTTAATTGACCACGTACATCTTCTGCGATCGATTCGTCTAGCTTACCGTCAACTTGATACCATAGATAAAAACTGGCAGTTCGAGTACCATTTTTCAAGATATAAGACATACGCTCTTGCACATCTTCAAGTTTTTTAAAACTATTCGCTATAATTGGAACATATCTTGAAGGGATCCCATGGATCGTAAATGAAAGGGCGGTATACTTGATTTCAGGTTCAACTGGACATTCAATTTTCTTAGATACTACCTTCTTGTTGGAAACAGGGCCACCCCTTCTTCTACGTCCCTTTCTGGGAGGGGGCCTTCTACCTGGCTTTATTGCCCCACCTTCATTATTTTGATCCTCTTGTTTCACATCTGTTTTATCCTCATTGGGTGCTTTCTGTTCACCGTTCAGTTTTTGTTCATTTTCCTGTATATCATCCGGTTTCTGTTCATTCTCTGGTTGATGATCATCCTTTTGTCCTTCGTTTCGCTCGCTTTCCCCTTTCTGTTGTATGCTTTTCAATTCTTCCTCTTTCTTTGACTTATCCTTGTTCAATTCTTCTTGTTCTTTTTTCTTAAAGTCTTCATATTCATTTAATTTCTGGTTGTAATTGTCAACTTCATTTTGATTATGAATCCATAAAAAGCTTACTAAAATGTCCTTGTTATCAGGTTCTTCGGCATTATATGTTGCAGGTGGTAACACCTCACATACTGCTTCTTGTGGTAGCATATATCTCACATTTGCATTTTCTACAAATTCAAATAATAATGTTGCGTCCGTCAAATATTTTTCTTGAAATGCAGTTAATTTTTGATCTTTCGGCACTTTTGGTTTTGGTGGCTTCTTTTCTTTAGGGGGTTTTTTATCTTTCGGTAGTTTTTTAGGTCTTTGATTTGGAAGTATTCCGTTTGGGAATAGGTATGCATGATGTGGTTGTGGTCCCATTTCTCTGGCCCTTTGTATATAACCCTGAAATGTTATGATTTGTTGAGGTGATGCGTTCCCCAGAGCAACTATTTTCATCAACGCATTTAAAGACTGGTCCACTCTAGCAATTGTGTTCAAATTCGCTATCATTATTGTATTTTCTATGGATTGCATGCTATTTGGATCATTTTTAGTATTTGAGACTGCCGGAGGTGTAGGTGACGGATTTTGGGATGTGGAAACAGAAGATTGAGGCATGGATGAATTATGCACAACTGATGGTTGCTGTACCAGAGTAGCGGCTTGCGAATTGCTGGATGTATGTGAATCTTCAGTAGTGGAAGCTGGATTCGAAACATTCTGGTTCTTCGATTTGTTTTCATTGTTATTTGAACCACTAGAGCTATCTTTATTTTGCGTTTCATCTTTGTCTAGCTTCTCAGAGTCGCCTACTGAAGCCTTCTTATCTGAACCACTTCCACTTTCTTTGGAACTTGAAGTGTCAGGTTTATTACTTGGTGTAGATTTTGTCTTCGATCGATCTTCTCCTTTTGGTAGCCCGTCTGTATCATTAATTTCTTGTTCAGTGTTTGACTCATTATTGTTCGTTGATGTATTATGCGTCTCATTGGTCGTTGATTGCGGGGCTTCTGAGCTTTTAGAGATGTTTTCTTTAGATTCATTATCTATTCCTTCTATTGTGCCTTCTACGGTAGCAGGCACATCATCCGCTGCTGATTTTTTCAGTCCCTCTGAGGGACTCAATGCATTAGTCTCAGCAGATTTCTCTTTTATTTTATCATCCGCATCAGTTGGGTTTGATGTCGTCTCAGTTATCGGTTTTTCATTTTCACTGACCAACTCTTGATTAGCATTCAGGTCTTTTTTCACTTTATCCTCCTCCTCGTCCTCCTTCTTCTTGGCATTTTTTTCGGACCTTTCGTCTTTGGCAATGAATAATCGTATTTCAAATTTATGGGGCCCCATACTAAGCGACGCATCGCATAACTTCACCATTACATCCCTTGCACTTACATCATTTCCCAATATAGGAACCCTTTCTGATGACTTATCTTCTTTTTGCGTCTTATGAGTACTTTTTTCTTGATCCAATTGTTGCATCTTCTTTGCATATGAACTTTGTTTTAACCAGTATAATTTAAACATAGGTCCAATATTCATATAGCTTAATCTAGACTTCATAAGTGATCTATAAAGAACTCCTGTATCTTTTGTTGTGAGTGGATTCTTTAGAACATCTTCGTAATGACCATTCGGCGGTGGATTATAAGATAGAGGTAACCCAGAAAGGACCTCAAACGGTCTCACAATTGCTTGTGATAACGCTTTCTGTTGTTTTTCAATCTCTTCCCTCTTTGCGGAAGTGATACGACGTCTCATTCGAGGTGCCATCTTATCTGCTATTGAAATATTAAACACTATATCTTTATAATGCTACTATCTACAATATAGATTTTGATGTTTTTCAAATAATCTACGCGACATTTTAAGCGACTTTTTCGTTACATATTTTTTGTGGTCTATTTACCTATTATACATATTATCAATCCATATTTAAATATCATTTTCTAACGTTTCTAACCCTTGATTGAATAATTTAATCATTGTATCAAGCTCACTTACCAACTTGTATTTAGGTGTTGTGTCGAGGAAAAATTCCCCATTGATAGTTGGAATTTGTGGGAAGCTTTGAGACAGCTTTTCTCTGCTCACATTTGAGCCACTTAAGGAAGTAGTTCTAGGCAAAAATGAGTTGATTGTAGAAGGATTACTAGTTGTAGGAAGGTTTGATGTAGGTACTGCTGATGAAGTATTAGCTTTCTTTAACAGAACCGGATGATTTCTTGAATTACTTGACGCATAAGTAGCATCAGAATCAGTTGCATTTTCTGACCCAGTCCCTGGGTAGGTAAGACTTTCTTTCTCCGTTACCGGGGTCATGGTTAAAGGCAAGTTACCAATCTGGGATGGATTAATACCAAATTGATTCACATTCTCGCCCTGAGATGCTTGGTTACCGTTATGCAGATCAAAATCATGGGTCAATGCTGAAAGTGTGTTGATAGAATTAGATGGGGTTGGCATTTGAATATGAAATCCTGGTCTTGGTCTCTTTGGTTTTGCAGTTGCGGCAGACTGGAGATGCGAGGACAACGGCTGGTTGATATTAGTATTACTAGTATTCACATTACCGTTCGTGGTTTGTGAAGGACCTAGATTCGAATTCCCATTACCGTTGGTGGTATTGTTTGTAGTAGCATTTATGTTATTGCTAGTCGGACCAAGGTTCGATGTACCATTGGCACTGGAACCGTTAGATTCATTTGTCAATTTAAAGTTTATAGGCTGAAGTAAGGGATTCGAATTGGATTGTAGAGCCTTCATTGATTTAGACGGTGATGAAGTATTCGCCATGTTGGCAGCATTTATAAGAGCAGTTGTGGGAGCTGGTTTTGGAGATGGTGTCTTCAAGTTCGAAGATGTAGTTGATGAAGGTGTACGAGGAGGCTGGTGTGACGCACTTGAATTACTTCCAAATGTGTTTGATATAGTTAGCTTCCTTTGTCTATTGGCAGATGCTGAAGTCGAAAATCTGGTTTCTAAATTACCAGAAGCAGATTGCGAATGATATAAAGTCGGTGGTTTATTAAGAGACGGCTGGCCAGTATTGCCGGCGGTAGATTTATCCGCGTATCCACCGTAGTTGTCCATATCTGGAATCTCGATTGTTGGAGACTCTAACCGTTGGTCACTTGGAGTAAACGATGGGGGTAATTCAAATCCTTGACCACTGATGGTGCTGGGGACAGCATTCATCTCCGGAGATGCTTCTTGAAACAAGTTTAAGAGAGATTTGGGAATCTCTGTGTTGGATGTAGTCCCTGTTGCCTTATTTCTATCGCTAGAAAATTTTGATTCATTATTTAAAGTACTCGTCCCAAACTTCGATTTAGTGTTATTCAATGTATTTCCCATCTGTAATGTAGATTGCGTCTGATACGTATCATTCGCAGTGTCTTCTTCATTGTATCCGTACGAATCTTTATAGGTTTCTTCAACCTGATCCATATCAATATCATTTTCAATAATATAATCACGACTACTCAAAGAGTCAAAATCCCACTTAACTTGAAGTTGGTGATCGTTATCAATTTCGTTATTTTCGCTACCACGGCGATGAGTTGGCATTATATTTTCTTCCAAGTTCATATAAGCTACCGAATCTCTAGAAGAATCTCTATCTCTCCATAATAAATATCTTGTAATCACTTCCTTTAGTACAACGGTTGGATGACCTTTATAGAATTTAACAAACTTACATTTCAATAAATCTTCTGCGCTTGGTCTCTCCTCTGGATTCTCATCTAAACATAATGCAATAGTCTCTTTCAACCCAGACGAATACTCTCGGCCTTCCAACCTTGGAGGTGTCAGTTTCGATATCATTTGCATTGCCCACATGGCGTCTTTATCGCAATAAGGAGGGTTTCCCGTGGCAATCTCATACATAGTGATCCCCAACGACCAAATATCGGCTTTCGCATTATAGGTGTCCCCTTCACGGATGACTTCCGGTGCCATCCAATATGGTGTCCCAGCCATAGTCGTACGTTTCAATGCATTCGATGTGATTTGTGTGGCTACTCCGAAGTCACATAGACGGACGTTCCCTTCTTTAGTAATCAACACATTTGCCGCTTTAAGATCTCTATGTATAAACCCCAACTTATGAACCGCTTGTAATGCAATCAATAATTCTCTCATTATCACACCAATGTACTTTTCTTCAAAAACTCCACATTTAAGCAACGTACGAACACTACCACCAGCACAATAGTCCATCACAATCCATAATCTTGTATCGTTTAAAAATGATCCGTAGTAATGCGTCACATTAGGCACATTCTTCAATTCTGTCAAAAACTGTATCTCTTGTTGCACATCTATAACCTCATCCTCCTCGGTATCCAAATTTAATACTTTTATGGCAACTACCTGCTTCGTTTGTTTGTTATACCCTTTATAAACAACTCCAAATTTCCCTCGACCAATGACCTCTGTGCGTTCAAACGAAGTCTTTGAGATAACTCCCATTTTCACCAAATGGGATCCAATCTATCTATAATTTTATAACAGCTTTCGCTACTTAGTTAAGGTAAATCTTTAGGGATATATTAAAAGTAGTAAGATTAAAGATTCGGTCTATTGATCTAGAATTAGTGGTTCATAGATGAGCACCATAATTTTTAATATGCAGTACCCGAGATTGATATCAATTCTTCACAATTTTCAAGGTTAGTCATAGTACTATAATCTCCATAATACTACTTAATAGAATGGCTAAGACTGCGACGATTAAAAGAGACACTAACGAGACAAAGATCCAAATTGCCATTTCTTTGGAAGGAGGACATATAGCGTTGGAAGAGTCTATTTTCAAGAATTCGGCCAATGAGACTAAAGATGATAGTCATGCGACCCAGGCCACCTCTACACAAGTGATTCAGGTCCAAACTGGAATAGGGTTCTTAGATCATATGTTACATGCATTGGCCAAGCATTCTGGGTGGTCATTGATTATAGAATGTATTGGAGACATCCATATCGACGACCACCATACAGCTGAAGATGTTGGTATCACACTAGGCCTTGCATTTCATAAGGCTCTCGGACAAGTGAAAGGTGTCAAGAGATTTGGCTGTGGTTTCGCTCCATTGGACGAAGCATTAAGTAGGGCTGTTGTTGACTTGTCCAATAGACCATATGCAGTGATTGAGTTGGGATTAAAGAGAGAGAAGATAGGAGATTTGTCCTGCGAGATGATTCCACATGTATTGGAAAGTTTTGCCCAAGGTGCTGCTATCACTATCCATGTGGACTGTATAAGGGGGTTCAATGATCATCATAGAGCCGAAAGTGCGTTCAAGGCATTGGCGGTGGCTATTAAGGAAGCTACTTCTAGCAATGGTACCGATGACGTTCCAAGTACTAAGGGTGTTTTATTTTAGACCTATATTCAATAATATGTACAGGCTAGATGCGTAGCTTTGGTGCATTTTCTTCAGATGAAGTGGCCAGAAGCTTACCTACGTATAAATAGCAAATTCAACAAAACATAAATTATTTTTTACGTATTCCTCCACCTTCTCTAGTCTCTTTGGCTTGACGCTCTCCGCTAGTTACTCTATTTGCCTTAGAACTCTGTTATTTCTTCAATGGACCTTACCTTGAACCTTTACCATAGACCTTGTCCACATTGATAATCTGATATCGCACGTGATGCTAGTACATAAAATATTTCAGTATCGGAAGAGAAGACCTTGAAGATATAATTACTTCTATAAACATTACGGCTATGCTCAAGACCCCGATTAGACGGTTCTCTGTCGTATCCAATGTGTTGAATAAGAATGAATCAAATATCAAACCTGTTTTCAAATCGCATTATCTGAATGAAGGTGTTAAACACTTTGACAAAAATTTTCCTAAGCAACAAAAACGTAAACCTTGGGATGATGGAGAACAGACAAAGGACGAATTCTATATGAAAAAATATGGATCAATAAGCGAAAAGGAGAGAGAATTCTTAAATCAGAAAGTTGATAGACAAAGGAGGGCCAGAAAAGAAAGAAAGGATGCAGATAGACAATATAGAAAGCATGAAAAAGAAGAACGCTTTTCTCGATTTGGAGATAATCGTGATTTTAGACAAGCATTCAAGAACCCCTTAAGTGAATATGTTTATGGTACCTTCCCTGTAATGGCAGCTTTAATGGCAAATAAAAGAGGCCTGTTCAATAAATTAATAACGCATAACCCAAAAGAATCAAGCGGAGAAATCTTCAAGTTAGCTAAAAAATATGGTTTGAGAATAGATAGAAAAGACAGCAAAAATGACTTAAATGTATTGTCCGACAATGGAGTACATAATGGAATGGTATTAGAAACAAAACCGCTTGAGCTTCCAATCATATCTACGTTGGGTGAATGTGACCCAGAACTAGGAACTTACAAGGTCTCAATAGTAAACGATTTATACAACACCGAAGTGCAAAAACTGGAACCGGTTGTCCGTAACTTTTCAGATGAGTCTAGCTCTAAATACCCGTTAGGAATCTATCTCGATGGTATTACGGACCCGCAAAATATAGGTGCTATTGTTAGATCGGCTTATTATTTGGGTGCGGATTTCATAGTGGTTCCAGATCATGATACCGCTAGGTTAGGGCCTGTTGCAAATAAGGCATCTGCCGGTTCTCTTGATTTAACTAACATTTACCAAACCGTTGATAGTTTACGTTTCGTTGAAAGTGTCAAGAACAATGGGTGGAACGTAATCACCACCAGTGCTAAACCAAACCAAGATGAATTGCACGATTTAAAGCTGAAACATGAAAAGGTAGAAGAGCATTTGAAGAATAAATTTATCGAAGTCGACGAGTTATCATCCATGATGGCCCAATCTCCGATATTGCTTATCATGGGAAGCGAAGGTGCGGGTGTAAGAACTAACTTAAAGCTAAAGTCTGATTATCTAGTCGGTTTGGAAAAAGGTAGAAGAATCGGTGTCGACATAGTTGATTCGTTGAATGTTAGTGTTGCATGTGGTTTGTTGATAAGCAAATGCTTCGAATAAGAACTACACATATCTCTGAACAAATTCTATATAAAATACATGTAAATATATATCATTAGAAACATATCTAATCATTCTACTAGTGTAATAAGGAATTCAAGTCGTATTCAAGATCTTCCTCATAATATGTCAATTCGAAATCATCTGAAAACCACTTGCATATATGCTTGTGTCCAGTTGTTGCGAGTGCACATTTCATATGCTAAAAAAGAATATATACTAGCTCACAAGGAGCATGCACAAGTAGCTCAACAAGTTCATATAGACCCATGAAAATCTTATCAGGAAAATAGGGGCAGCACGTGATCACGATATTGCATGAGATAGGAGCAACTGTTAGCCGTTGAACTATGGTTAACTAGTCAAAGAAATGTCAGAACATTGAATATTAGGACGACACTTCAATAGCTACATTTTGATATATTAGCAATAGATAATAAAAATATCATATTTCAAGAAACTTGAGAATAAATCAAATGGTCGATTATCATCTAGTAGTTTTGGTGCATGGGTATGTTGAAGGCTCTTGAATCTACGTCTATAAACAAATAAGAAGATTACTAACGTTAATATCTAGTTTATGGGGTACATGTTCACATATGGATTACCTTGAATCACAAATCCAGCAAATTAAATCGTCAAATAAGGAAGAAAAGATTATCACATACAAGACTAATTCACACGGAGGATTTTTAACGTACGACGGCATAGACGTCAACGGAAAAAGAATTGCTAATGAAATAATTGCAGAGACAGAAAATCTCACGAATAATGGGAATCGAGTTAGAAAATTCTCTATACTTGGATATTCTTTGGGAGGGTTGATATCTCGGTATGCGATCGGAGTTCTATATTACGAAGGGTATTTTGAGAAAGCGTTGCCGGTGAATTTCATTACTTTTTGCACACCACATGTTGGGGCCATCAAGCCATATCGTTCTTTTCTGGCAAAAATGTTCAATGGTTTTCTGTCTTACTTTCTTGCCCATAGTGGGGCCCAGATGTTTTTGAAGGATAAGCAACTGGTTAAATCGGAATATGGGGGAAATAATGATCTTAATTTACCTCTTTTAGTTTGGATGGCCGAGCCATCGTCTACTTTTTACGTCGCTTTATCAAAGTTCCAGCATAGAATGGTTTACGCTAATGCTATTGGAGATAAGCGGGCTGGATTTTTTACCGCAGCAATAGCGACTATGGACCCCTTCAGTTCCATGGTTGATCGGAAGGTAAGCGCGTACGATTTTGAATATGTGGAAGGATACGAACCAACTGTTATAGATTTCACTAAACCTATTTCGTTTTCTAGAATAGATGAAACGAATGCAACACCAGCCTACTCTATATGGTCGGTAATAATAAAATGGGTGAAGCTCTTGATGGGTATTATCTTGGTCACGCCACTTTGGGGCTTGTGGTTTTTATACAAAACCATTTCCGAAAGAATAAAGTTGAATAAAAGAGTTTCGCTGTTCTTCAGTGAAACATCCTTATTACATTTGTATAGTTATCCGGATCATATTTTTGACGATGTTACTTCAGAGGATGACACTCCTCAGCCTAAAAATGAGAAATCCGAGCTTGAGCTGAACGGCAAAGATGAACCTCATGAATCTTTCATTTATTCTCTAGAAAAAGAATTGGGTGAACAAGTCCGAGATCAGACTGACATTTTTGTCGATTCTATATTTGATGCAGCTAATAGCCAAAGCTATGAAGAGTATGAGTATAGTATTTCAAGTCGGAGAAAAAGAAAAAACAAAGATAAGCCTGCACCAAAGTCGGATAATGAGTTTTCTTCTACAATTAACGAGATGGAAAACTTTAGTGATTCATCTGATCCATTATTGTCACAATCTAAGCTTGTTACTTTAAAAGGTAAGAAGATTGATAACTTCAGATTAAAATTATCAAGCAACGAGTTATATATTATCCATAAGCTAAATAAGCTTGATTGGGAAAAATATCCTGTCATAATCCGAAAAACTAAGCTTACTCATTCGGCAGCTATAGTGAGACAAGATGAGCCTGCATTTGAAGAGGGGAAAACTGTTATTAAACATTTCGTAGAACAAGCTTTCAAGTTAGAATAGATAAATAATTATAGATTTTTGCGTATTAAATGGAAAAGAAAATACTTGAATATATGGACTTGGTGTTGATATTAGACCTCTATGTCTCCACTTTGTATTCAATGTACGTTTGATTCCATAAAAGTAGCATGTCACTTTGTGTGATTTTTGTTCCCATTTTTGCATCCACAAACAGACGCATGTATGCAACAACTTCGGAGAAGAATGAACTAATGAGATTCAATATTTCATGTTAGACATTAAATAAGCGTAGATCAAGTTAACCTTTACGAAATAATAGTGTTGAGAAATTTCTATTATATATAAGAGCTTGAATTTAGTATTAATATAAATTTTCTTATAATTGTGCAATATCCAACATAAATAGTAGAATCATATTTCACAATTAACATCAAGAAGCAGCTGAACCCAACAATTACGAAGTTAAAATAAGGAAAATGATTCAACACATCAAGAAAATAGAGCAAGATACATCTGAAAATGATAGAGAAAACCTAATAATAGAGGATAAATCTTTAAGTAACCCCAAGGATTACCACTGCCAGACTCAAGGACAACCAGACGCAGGAAACATATCCAAACTATATGAAAAAGACCCCCCAAAGAAAGAAGAACGGGAGAAGTCTTTAAACACTGAGGTTGTGTGTTCCAAGAGTGGCGGAAGAAAATATATTACAATACGAAATATCCCACTTGGCGCAGACCCCAAAAAACTTAGAACAGCATTCAGTAAAAGCTTTCCTGTTGTATCAATGGGTGTAGTGAAAGTCAACAACATGGGCTCCATTCTGTTACATCTTCAACCTAGAAAGGATGATAATGTTGAGCTTCTTTATCGAGTTATGAAGGCCAACGAAGATCTCCTAAATTAGTACAGGAGCTAATTATTAAAGATTGCAATATCGATCTTTTATATTTTACACATATAGAAACGTAGAAAAGATAAAAAAAATACATCTATACAATAACTAAATTAATTCAACGTAATTAGCAGGGAATATACCAACAGCACCATTGTTTCTCCCAGTCCACCAATCATTAGACGTCTCCGACTTCTTCACGATGTCAATAACATCACCTTTTTTGAATGGTAAGTCACCATTTTGTTCTCCTTTAAACGTATATAAGGCAATTGCTTGATTGGCATTCGTCTTTGCAGCTCCCCCAAAATTTGGTTTACTAGATGTTGGAGGCCTGGATGGACCACTACCTGATAGACGGGTGTTACTGAACGCCGAATTTAGGTTGTCTACATCACTGTTAGTTCGTCTTCTACTTGAACCTGTGGAATCATAAATGTCATCTTCCCATGCAGAGCGTCTACCATTGCTATTTGACAGTTGTCTGTTACGCCCCCCACCAGCTCCACTTCTTCTATAACTATCGTCATCATCAGAATAATCATCATCGGAATATCCATAGTCATCTGAATATCTTCTTGAACGTCCAACCCCAACACCTCTTCTTGATCCCGAGGCCGAGGTAGTGTCAGAGAATTCATCTGGAATATCATCATAGTAATCATCGTTGTAAAAATCATCTTCATCATATGGCAATCTGTTATTGAAAGCCTTAGAATCTAATACTCTCATCAATGAGTCACATGCCGGTGGTGGTTCAACATTGCCCGCCAAAATAGTTCTGGCTTTACACTTATTACCATAAAATTTTCTATTCGCCTCTCTTCTCTCAACAATCGCCGAACCTTCCAACGATACACCTGCAAACAACCCCTTGGTCTTGGAATATGCGAATACAGCAGAGGCACTCTTCAACGAAGCAGTACCTGCACCTTCGGCATTTCTTCCCAATGGACCAGCAGCCACTGAAACATTGGCCCCTAATGTAATTGATCCCATTTGGGCAAACGAGTCGACAGCAGCCTTATTATTTAAAATAAAGACAAAATCAGTGATCTCGGCACCAATTTGTCCCCCAACCCCAGCTCCGGCTGTGACGATTGCTGATGGTGCCGACCAACTACCATCTGGAAGTCTAGCAACTATAACACCAGAACCCGCTCTACCAGAAAACAAGAATCCTGCCTTCAATACAGTAATAACTGCCAATCCTTTAGCATTTTTCAAAACGTTTGGGGGAATGACTTGGTCTGCACCAGCAAATTGATTAGGCTTTACAAATGAAGCAAGAACTTTAGCAGCTTTCCTAGAAATCGGTTAGCACATCACTTGTTATATAACACCATTAGCTCCACCATCTAAACTCCACCATTATTGATGGCAGATTCGTAATTCATACATACTTTGATTCACTTTTCAAACTTCTTGGTATTGGATTATTAAGTCCCATCTTTCTAAAACTTTTAACTAATTGTATCCACTCAATCCAAAAATCGCTCCTTTAACTTAGACGAATACAGTAGTATTAAAATAACTCAGATATACTAGAATGTATTTACAATTGGCAAGGATAGCATATTGAATATGCCGTTGGATCCTTAATCACTTTCAAAGTGACACAAAGCCCCATTCTCGAAATTTTCAACCATCTTTTCCGGAGACAAAATTCTTAGGCCTTAGAAAACGTCATTCATGGAACACACAGCCGTAGTATTTCTTATCCTGCCATATCAGCTCATGACTTTATATCCTCTAAATTAGTGGATTGTGTAAATTTTAAAATATTTATGCAAAGTGTAGGATTGACCAGTATGATCAGTATGATCAGTATGACCAGTATAACCCGTTTGATTAGATGCATGAAATGAAAGAGAGACATGGGGAAAGAAGGGAGAATTGTACACGACGGGTACTATTATTATTATACTGTCCCATGTTTAAAAATTTTTAAAATTTGATAATTGAATCTGACAAAATGCTTTAATATGCTGGTTTATCTTTATTAATCTATAGAATGTAGAGTGTCTAAGTATTCTAATTAAAAGAAGTATTCTGCTGCTCTTGGACAATTGAACGAACTTTACCGGTTGATAATCCGGAGCGAATATTTTCAATTGTCCAGTTTTCGAAATCAGAGAAGGCTTGCACTGTATGGGTGCCCATGTGTGGTAATGCCATGACGTTTGGTAATTCTAATAGTTCCTTGCGAGGTACAGGTTCACTTTCAAACACATCCAAGCCAGCTGCACCGATTTTACCAGTTTTCAAGTGTTTGATCATGTCCTGCTCGTCGATGACAGCACCTCTTGCTGTATTTACGATTATCACACCGTCTTTCATTTTGGAGATTAACGAATCATTTATCAAGTGGTAAGTAGATTTATTTAACGGGCAATTTATAGAAAGGACATCAGAAACAGCGACCAATTCTTCGAGCGATGCAACATATTCACAATCTTTTTCTAATTCCGGTGATAGCTTGGATCTACTGTAGTAAACGATTTTTTCAAACCCAAATGGTACTGCCCGATCTCTGACGGCACGACCGATATTTCCCATACCTATAATCCCCAAAACTTTCCTTGAAGGGGCCCATCCTGCTTCAACACCGGCACCAAGGCCACCAGCTGGCCACTTGTCAGCGATGAGATTTCGGCGTCCGGCTTCAAAGTTTCTCATTGCCCCAAGCATAAGAAATATGTTTGTGTCTGCTGTAGATTTAGTCACAATATCTGGACAATTTGATAACTGGATACCACGTTTAGTTAACTCGTCAACATCTATTTGATCATATCCTGTGCCCTGATGTGCAATATATTTCAAAGAAGATGGAAAATGAGATATTAATTCTTCGTCGAACATTCCAACTTTTTGTCCTGTAAGGTATCCTCTTCCAATGGCAATAACATTTGCGTACTTGCCATGAAGATCTTTAATAAATTCTTTCCTTGAATAGTCACCAACAAGCTCTACCTCAGCAATTCCTCCAAGTTCTATCCATAACTGATGGCTATATCTAACTGGCTCTAAATGAACAACCAATGGCTTCGGCATGTTTGTATTACAGGTTTGTATTGAGCTTAAGTGAATCGACGAGAACAGTTTTCAAATCAGTGAGTAACTGCGACATTACACCAGAATCTTGTATCAAAAGCCACATCCCATGGCATTTACCATACATTCATTCTGTGCCACATAGAAGGTTACAATCAAGCATATTCTAAACATTATTTGTATTCCTTTGTTTCTAGGTTATGAAAAAGTTGACATTAAAATTCCTTTTCTTTCCGGCTTGCTTTTCCGAACCTAGCTGCTCTTGGCTGCAATATTCGATATGAATGCTGAAATTAAAGAAAGTGTAACCTTAGACATAGAAGCAAACACATGAATATGACTTCAAGTCAGCCGATTCAAATAGAGAACGAACTTTATCGAACATATATCTTCAACTGATAAGCTATAGTAAGGATGTCATTATCGGAAATCTTTTGAGTTTTCTACATTAATTGTCTTTAAAGAATTGATCGAAATTTGCTTATTATATTTGATAGTATGGTATATTGATAGTATGGTATATTAAGAACAGAGAAATATATGACTATTTATAATCTATGACCTTATACATAATCTCAGCTGTATCCAAATATGCTTATTATTCTATTTCCACCATTCAGGTTTATCATAGCCGTTTGGTCTGCTAGGACCATCGAATCCCACGGAAGTTGATGAATATTCCACGACGGGTTTCAATACTTTGATCTTTCCTTTGAAGGCAGGTGCGTCCATCTCCTCCATATATTTCTTCTGACTAAAGGTATCATCAAATAACTCTGGCTTTATTCTTTTCATTGAGCGAAGGCAAGTTGAAGAAATTTTGTCGACGGAGTCACTATATCTCAAATTGAAAATCTCCTTATCGTGTTTGGTTAATGATTCCTTCCATAAGTCATCTGGGTATAATCCTTGCTTTAATAACAATAAATCATATTGCACTAATGAAGATTTACACCAATAACTACCTCCGTAGCGTGCTCTTTTATAAACTGCTGTAAGTACAGCTATTGCAACCATACAACCAGTTCCGTAATCGGACATAGGAAACGGTGGAATCAATGGTTCATCTAAACCTAAGGACTTACCGTGAATCCAGGCAACACCTGAAGCACAGTCTGCAATCTGTTGCCAGCCAGCTCTACCAGCCCATTGACCAGTGAAACCAAAGCAGTTTTCAGAACCATAAATATACCCCTTCTTTCTAGATTTAGCCATTTCAGCAATCTTTGAAGGTCCATATCCCAATCTTTCAATTGCATTTGTTCTATATCCATCAAGAATAACATCGGTATCACGAAGTAAAGCCTCAAATGTTTCCCTATCCTGTTCATTCTTTAGATCCAATGATGTAGTATGCTTACCAACATTAACATCAACTTGGAAGAAGGGCACATCTGGAAGGTTTGGAGAGGTGACTTTTATGACTTCTGCACCGTATTCAGCGAGGATACGACCAATAGTAGGACCTGCAATGATACGACACAATTCTAATATTTTAATTCCCTCCAAGATTTTTGGCTTGTCAGTGCCTGTAGAACACGGCGTAAATGCTACCGGTGGAGTTTCTTGTTCCATATTTTCAATTGTCCAATATGGTTCCTTCAGAATGACTTTTCCATGCTTTGTCTCTAGAAATTGTTCTTCGGTCAATGCCTCGATACCAGCTTGGCGGTTCTGGGTATTCAAAGTTTCTAGGTCATCACAATCGAAATTGCTTACCGCTCCCTGAATAACTTTGACAACGTCTTCATATTCTGTAAGCTCTGGTGCATATGCTGGTAATCCAATCATGTTTAACGTGGTAGAAGCCTCTAAGGATCCATGGATATGATAGTACCTCTCGTCCTTAGTTTTGTATAAATTTGCAGACATTCTTCTGTAAGTAATAGATTGCGCTTCATTTATATCGGTTGGCTTCAATCTCGACACAACTCTTTTATCTAATTTAGTCATACCATCTACCGAGGCCAAGTAAGTCAGAAAAAGGAACATTAATGCATGCTGCAAGTCAATTTTTGCATTATCATTAACCCCGTATCTCAAATTAGCAATAGCAACAGCAGCAGTAGCCTCTAAACCCTTCAAAGCAGCTGCCATTTCACATTCTTTTAATCTGCAAGGCAATACAAGGCTATCTGAGTTATTATAGAAGCTTACGTCTTTTGCCAATGATTTGAATTCATCGGGCACTGGTAAGTTCTGATCTTCGAGTAAAGATTTAAATATTCTTTGTGCTTCTACGAGTTGTGAGTATCCAGTCATGGTTTTGTTAATAATTCTTACTCCATACACTCATTATTGGGGACGTAGTACTTATATATATTGTCTATACCAACTCCGTGGAAGCTTTCACGTTGCATTTCCGCTAATCATTTCCGAGAGATTTCCGATCTCCAATTATCTCGGATTTATAGATATCGCGACAGAACATTTACAAGGCATAATATAATGATGAATTTAGAATTCATATGTAAGTACATATTCTATATACTGTTAGATATATCTCATAATCTTTTGGTGGAGCAGAATTAAATGTAAACTCGATAATACTTCATTTTTTCTTGGGCTGGGGACTCAAATTCAATATAAGCAGCCCATGATTTGGTTGAACTTGAACCATCATTCAAAACATAATCAACATCCCCATTGAGTAAAATATCAGTATCATTTACAGCAGCCACATTGTGCACTACGTGGTGTCTTTTTGAGACGTTGGCCCATATATTCTGACGGAATTGTCTAATCTCGTCTGAACCTTTGGCCAGATTTACTCCTATAATAAGAGTAGCTTCCGGAGTAAAATAATTCACATATTCGTCTCCTTCAACTGGAGGTTTGGTGTCAGACTGTTTATAAAAGCCTTCAACGAAACTTTTCAATTGTTTATTTGAAACTAATTCTTTAGCGTATTTTGTCATTTCTAATTACTATGGAGAAAAAGATAAAATGTATTTCGCTCGCTATACATTAGATTATATATGAATTTAGATTCCGAATTGTTTGCTTTGCATATATCCGAGAATTATATATAAGTAAGAACATTCCTAGAAATCGAGTTCTCATTTGATTTGGCCGCAATCATGATTATGACATCAATTGCTAAAACTAAGAATATCTGTTACACCATATTTGAAACTTCTACTGGTGGGGAATCAGTAATCGTGTTTTTGCATGGGCTTGGATCATCTCAAAACTTTTATTATTCGATTGCGAAAAGGCTCTCTTCGAAATATACTTGTTTAGTGCTTGACAATAATGGTGCTGGTAGAACACCACTATCAAGTCCGGATATTTCTATTGAATCAATGGGGCAAGATGTGTTTAACTTGTTGCTAGAATTGGATCTTTCGCGTAGACCATTAACGCTCGTTGGACATTCAATGTCAGGAATGACAGTTAATTATATGAACAGTGAATTTAAGAATAAGTTAGACATTAGACAAAATATACTTTTGGGTCCAGTTCATCCAACGGAAAGGATGACTGAAATTTTCGACCAAAGAATCCAATCTGTCCAGAAGAGTAATTCATTATCTGACATCGCAAACTCCGTGCTGGAAAATGCAGTTGGGTCTAATTGCACTGACCTCAAACGGGCGTTTATTCGTGAGCTTGTTTTTGGACAGACTACTGATGGATATGTAGCTAATTGTGGAATAATATCGAAAGCCGGACTCCGATCAGACGCATTTTTAGAGTTATATAAGAAAAATGACAAGAGGACTTTGATCATACTGGGCGAAGAAGATAAAACAGCACCATGGGATGGGTGTGTATCCGTGCTTAGCGATAACCTTCAAAACAGCGAAGTATATCAGTTGAAGGGAGTGGGCCACTGGCATGTAATTGAAGACGACGAAAAAGTATTAGAGGCTATTGAGTCGTTTATTAAATAGAGTATTTACGATTGGTTTAGTTATGAATAAACGATTTAATAGAACATCATATATTGCAAGATTGCAGTCAGAAAAGAAGTAAAAACGACAAGAAATAAATAAAGATTATATACAAGTATTACTCTCCTGAATCTTACTTTTACTAAGTTTTTAGATAGATTACGGGATTATCAAATGAATTTCGTTGCAGGAGTTATGAGTTTCATTAAATTCTTGTTAATTAAATACATAATACACTACATTCAATGCTGTTTGGGTTGATAATTGTACTATGTACTATATTCGATTATCGAATAATATATCGCTTTTCCCAAGATTATACATGAATAGGTCGAGCATATCTTGCTTGTCACTAGATTCCGTGTTTGAAGGTGATGTGCTTTCAGGTGGCAAGAAAAATTGTTGGAAATCAAGTAAGTTATCCAAATCTGGAGCTACATTAAACGCAGGAGTATTTATGCCGTTTAAATGTTTTTCTCCAATATCATTAATACCCATCGACGTTGTTGCAGTGGGAGTTGCACATACCTGTTCTTGCATCTGTGCATCTCCATTACCTGCTGGAATAGAGAACTTACCTTTTAACGTAGATTGCATATTTCCTATAATGTCACTAAATCTTGCAGAAGTTGCACTCATTGGGCTGTAATTTGATAAAATAGTTCTCGCTTTGTCCAATGTATCCATAAGAAGCACTACATTATACTCTATATTCTTCCCTTGAGTTTCATTAACTTTCTCATGCATTATCTGAAGGCCTAGAATAAGCGCCGAATTAAAACAACAGTTGATGGTAGTAAACAGTTCCATTCTCATAGGACATTTTTCCAAAAAATAATCTATGAATTTTATTGTTAGAATCGATGCTTTTATACAAGCGTTTCGAAAGTTTGTCAATAAAACTTCTACCTTTCCTGTAGCTTGTTGTGTTTGAAAAGAGGAATACATGAAAAATGGCCTGCTCAAAAGTACAATGCCATAAAGCTGTGACAAGTGTGTTAAAAGCAAAGGATAATACAAGCCTTGGCTTAAGGTTTCATCCCATGTTAAAAGTCGGTCAATTCGTATTTCATTTCTCAAGTTCATTGACCATTTTTTTAATTCGATTGCCAATTTTTTTGCCCTATTGGTGTTTATTTTACCTTCACCATAAAAGTTTTCTACTATTTTTCCATTTATTTTAGCTATTTTTGCCGTTTCCATTTGACATATAGCCCTAAAATCATCATCATTTCTAAGAGGACCCTGTGGTGCACTTGATCCAATGTCGTCCCAGTCATAGTCACCAATACTTAATGGTCTTCCTAGTAAAATAGAGGAAATTCGATCACATATGTATAGACTTTGCCATAAACGCCTCCTATGATTAACGTATCCTATATCTTTAAACGATTCATTAATAAACCTCCTATGAAGACCAAGTGCTTGTGCATTTTTAATTGCCATGTTTAGCATGAGCCATGAAGTACTTCTTTTACAAGTGGACTGGTAATAAAAGTAGATCAAGAAATATGCTTCGCTTACCCAAAGGCCACCACTATCTTCTGAATTCCTAATTAATGTAGATCCGCTTTCAAAATATGAAGCTGAATCATTATAACGTAGTTCCTTAATAGAATAATCAGGGCAGATTTCTGCAAATAGCGACCCTAGCGCTAGCACTAAATGTAATAAAGCCAATTTATGATTAGGGGCTCTATTTGGGGATTTATAAATACAATCCACTATATCAAACCGAAGGTAATTGCTATCAAAAACATAAAACGTATAATTAATATTTTCTTCAAAGACCTGGACCAAGATATCACATTCTTCCCTTGTTGGTAACTGACTTGGAATTCCCGATAAAAGTTTACCAGGTTGATCAACTATACTCATTCTACGCGGGTCATCTGTAAACTCCGTATGGCCAAGGTTCTTGAAAAAGATATTACGGCACTCGAACAAAAGAGAAAGTGGACTACTTTCTCCAATATAACGCAAATTGCCTCCAGAATCACGTAAAAGCCTCGTATTTTTTCCATCTTCATTCGATAATCCATAGTCATCTTCCGCATCGTCATCAACATCATTTTCCAGATGAATCTTGTGCGAGGATCTGCCAACTGAACCCCTATCATGTCCATGGTTCTGGTTTTCCTCTTCGATAGGAAACGAAAGCAATGGCTCCAAATTTCTTGGAAGATACCTACTATTCTGGGGCTTCACCGTGGTTTTCTGCATTACGGTTGAGCCTGCATGGCCAACTGAGTTACGATGATCTCCATTCTTTGAAGCCATCAGACTACGACGTCCAGGCCCCTCAAATTTTTGACCGACATAACCATTGTGAATCGACCCTGGCGAATCCTCTGGAAATCCCATGTCAGTCGATAATGAACTTCCTTTAGAGCTTCTCGTATAGTTTTGATCATTCATTCGATCTTCTTCAAGCATCTTGACAGAAATTTCGTTTTCGGGAATACTACACCTGATTCCCTTCTTTTGACCCTTTAATGTTCTCTTGTCCACCTTGATATATTCACACTCAAGCTCTTTCTGTTTACACAGTAAACAGGGTACATCTCCGCTACACTAAATTATCGTTAGTAATTGATACTTATGCAAGATGATAGAAATGAACATACCTTCAACTTGCGTCGTTTACAATTGTCGCACGCCTTAGTGATCTTCTTCCTTGATTTAGACTTCTCCATGTTAGTTTCTTGATTTATGCTTCGTCAGAATATATCATTAGAACTCATTAGTTTATTGAGTCCATTAATTCTCCACGAAATACTGCACATTATAGATTGAACGTACTTCTCGCATCCAGTACGATTTAGCATAATGTTGATTCTTATGAACATACAAGAAACTGGGTTACAACTACAAACGTTATTGATTAGTCGTCATATATTTAGATACAATTACAATATATAATTTCAACTAGCAGCAGCACTTGTACCATTTTGAACACCATTTTGTGCAGCCGAATGCTTTTCCATCAATTTTTGTTCAAGGGCATATTGGGCATCATGTATCCTTTTTCTGCTTTCTTGAATCTTCGACTCTAAGGTCAAGGTAATATCGTAATGTAATTCGTTTTGGATTCCTTTTTCTTTCAATTCCTTTTTGGCAGGAATGAAATCGACGATTATATCGTCCTTAACTGCGAAGACAGAATCGTCTGCGGTGTACTTACATTCACGATCGTAGATTTGGGTGATCAACGAGTGATATTCTGGATGGGTGACTCTCCAATGGATATGGCCAGGTCTCATTGGGTGTCTGTCCATGATTTGCAATAATTTTCCAGCAGGTCCATCGTAAGGAATAGGGTAGGCTGTAGGTCTCAAACAAACAAAAGCATAGTAGCCGTCCTCATCAGAGTAGAAAGTACCTCTCAAGTTGTATTCTGGCTGATCTGGGTCTTGCTGTTCGTATAATCCGTTTGGTGCACAGTGCCATACTTCCAACTTGACACCTGCTAACGGATTACCGGCCGTGTCGGTGATGCGACCACTAACAACGGTCTTTTCACCCCCAACGTCTTTTTTAATAACTGAACCACCCTTAGGGTATTCTGGCGAGTCTTCTCTGTAAAATGGTCCGATAATTGTTGACGAAGTATGGTCCACAGTGTCCGAGCGGTGAGTCAATGTATCAACCAAAGCTTCAAGCCCAATGACGTCAGAAACCAAGATACCCTCATTTCTTTTAGCATCCGAAATTTGACCAATACTGTTGACGAGTTCAACTCCGTACATCCATTCATCGACCGTAATATTGTTTTCTCTGGTGAAATCGTGAATATGTTGAATCAATGATGAGAGTATACGACGAGCCTTTGGGGTCGTTTTTGGCCCCATAGATGTGATAACATGGTCTGTAAAGTCTTGATCCATTTTGTTATTGTACTTTTGTATTACTGATGCTAGATAAAAATTATAAACATTTTATTTCAATTAGCTTATATACTTTCACGCCCCACAAATCGGATATCTAAATGTAAGTCGACTTATATTTCCGACGGGGATGAGCTGACGACTGCGAATCCGTTGATAATATACCAGTCTCACATAGCTAAAACCCACCTACGCGTACTGAACCCCATATGTGATGATACCTTTGGATTTCCGAAGGCTAATAATTATCATCTCATCGTTGATTGATTGGAATTTCGATTAGAAAATAATCGAAAATCCAACAATTTATTTACCAGTTGTTAATTGACGAATTGCTATTTGCAAAGCAGCTACGTATGATGCACAAGATATTCTTACAGATTTTTCTATTATTATAACTCTCGTATTCATATATAGAATTAAAATGCTCTCATCCCAGCATCGGTTGTAATGCCCACAACAACCGATGATTAGCATTTTACACTCGTCCTTCCCCACTAACACCTAAACATCTGTACACACACATCCAAGGCCACTAAAATGTATATCACAACGGCCGTTACGTATATCCGTCTATAGCTATGTGCGCCGCTACAACCCATTTCTATGCCCATTTTAAAGGCTACTCGGGAGCATGACTCCGATTGCATCTTTTTTCCGCACCCACTCTACAAACGTAACGGCCGACAAGTTGCGGCAATATTTCCGTGAATGAATTTGCTAGAATCTACTTCTTGTACTCCAAAATAGGCCTACTATCGTTCTGGATGTTCTTACTTGTTGTCTCAATCAGTGTAGTTTTAGTTTACTGCAGCTCATTCTGTTTATTCTTCGTGTCAATCAGTCAAGGAACACTTTACGTTATTGTCACATTTTTCCGCAATTACTTACTAGTCTATAGCTGTCCAAAAATACGTATCCAACATCAATACGATATTGGTCATGTAGCTACATAATCAGCATTACCCAATATCATTAAACCTACAAGACTTATAGCCACTAGTCACGTAGGTATTGTCTCTTCGGTGTGCGGATTTCTGACTGTTCCAATCGCAGTCGTGTTTTTGAAATTATCGACAATATTACAGGGTTACGCCCGTACGTCGGCGCCTACGATTACTCCGAAATACCGTTTGAATGAGGTGAACAGGGAGAATCTCTGACAATTTACATTTTGCGGATTTAACAGGTACTCCACAAATCAGAACTTTGTATCTCTCCGTGAATACATTTCCGAGAATGCCATATTAGTTTTACGAGGGAAAACGTTCAATGTTTATATTGCGGGGTGCTCCACATTATAGTTTATCGGAAATTTACAATGATACTGATGATATCTCAAATTGTATATATATATAGAGCAAAGTCCATTGGAATTGCAAATGAATGAAGACTTGCAGACATCGAACATTCACAAAATGACTACAGAATCAAAAATAAAAAAGACGCAAACAGAAGTATTAATCATTGGTGCTGGTCCAGCAGGGTTGATGACCGCATGCTGGTTAGCTAGGACAGGTGTTCCATTTAGAATCATTGATAAGCGTACCACCGATATTTTTGCAGGACAAGCCGATGGTTTACAATGTAGAACATTGGAAATCTTTCAGAGTCTTGGATTTGGGGATAGAGCTTGGAAGGAAGCTAACCATATGCTTGAGATGGCCTTCTGGTCGCCCAACGAAGAAGGTGACTTAGTTAGAAATACTATTATAGCTGATACCATTCCAGGGATTTCACGTTTCCAACAATGTGTTTTGCATCAGGGTCACATTGAAAAATGGTTCTACGACTCGATTAACAAATGGTCAGGAGGCAAAAGTGGTGTTGAAAGACCACTCTTACCATTGTCTATCAATGTGGACGATTCAAAGGTTGATGACACCGAAGCCTATCCAGTTTCTGTGCTTGTACAGAATTTAACAAAGGAAAATGAAAGAAAGAAGCAATCTATACCAGAGCAATTCGGTTCTAAAGTCGAAAATGGTCTTTACAGACAATTTGATGGTGATCAAGAACAGTTCTATGCTAACTTGAAGACTGACATTGAAAGCAACGACTCGGTGGACAAAGAGGAGTATGAGGTCATAGAATGTAAATACGTTGTTGGTTGTGATGGTGCTCACTCGTGGGTCAGAAAGCAAATGGGTATTAACATGGAAGGTGAAACTACAGATTTTGTTTGGGGTGTGTTAGATATGGTTCCTCTTACTAATTTCCCAGATATTAGAAAGCGTGGTGCCATTCACTCCAAAGACTCCGGATCCATCATGATTATCCCAAGAGAAAATGATATTGTTAGATTATATATTCAATTGAATGAAATTGAACGTGATCCAGAAACCAAGAATGCATCTGAATTTGGTGGTGGAGTTGAAGATAAGACCGCAAAGTCCAAGGGTAGAGTCGACCGTTCCAAGATTACTCCAGAAGTTATTTTGAAGACCGCCCAAAAGATTTTTGCTCCTTTCGAGTTTGAAATCACAGATTTATCGTGGTTTACAGGCTACCAGATTGGTCAGAGAGTTTCTCCATCATTTTCTAAACACTCTAATCGTGTTTTCATTGCTGGTGATGCATGCCACACCCATTCTCCTAAGGCAGGTCAAGGTATGAATGTCTCTATGATGGATACATTTAATCTTGGGTGGAAATTAGCATACGTTACTAGGGGCTTAGCATCTAGTGATATCTTATCAACTTATGAATCAGAAAGAATTAAGGTTGCTCGTGAATTGATCAACTTCGATCATAAGTTATCCCGTATGTTTAGTGGTAAACCAATGATTCCAAGCAAGGATGCCTTAACTAAAGGTGAAGGTGTTGATATGGACGAATTCCACAAGGCCTTTTACATGGGTAATGAATTTGCTTCCGGTACTTCTGTCGATTACAATGCCTCGACTCTTGTCGTGAAGCCAGAGATGAATGAAGAAGCTGACAAATACTTTGTGCCTGAAGCTTCTAAAATTCCAATTGGTAGAAGATTTGATACCACTCTCGTCGTTACCCATTCTGATGCTAGACCAATCCAACTTGTGGACCGTATGTTGAGTGACGGTCGCTGGAGAATCTTGAACTTCTGTGGTGATGTTAAGAAGAACTCACAGATGGACACCTTGAATAAGATTTCTGATTACATCTATGCCAAAGAAAGTTTCAGAAACAAGTATACTCCAATTAACGCTCACGAAGATTCCGTCTTTGATGTTCTCACTATCTACTCATCCAAACGTAGTTCGGTCGAACTCTTTGACTTCCCACGCATCTGTATTCCTCAGGATCACAAGAAGCGTCGTAATTACTGGAAGCTTCATTGTGGTATTGAAACCACATTGCACGAAGGTGAATGTGACGCATACAAAAAGTATGGTATCGATACCGAAAAAGGATGTGTTGTCGTTGTTAGACCAGATGGATATGTTTCGTTAGTCACTGATTTCAGCCTCGATGGTTACAAGAAGGTCAGCAGTTTCTTCGATGCATTCATGATCCCACAAACTAAAACCACCTTGCCACCACCATCCGAGAATGACCTCGACAGATTTGTCAAGCCTTTGTTTGCCATATAATCTCTCAGGCTGACTATAGATTAGTCAGTTTTTATTCAAGTATTGTTATTACTTAAGTATATAATAAAATGTATTGTTTCCTAATAAAAGTATGAAATACTGTAATAGTGGTTGCGAAAAAAACATCTGTAAAAAACGGATGCTGAAATTGAACCCCTATCAAAATTATTCGCACCCATCGTGTTTTACCACTAGGCCAAAGAGAGCCGTTTTCCCTATCGAAGGAAAATGTTTTGAAAGGCCATAGCCGTACTGGTTACTTTAACATTCTGGAAATTTCAACATGTTTATATTGTATTCCATATATTGATGAAATACAAAGTGTAAGTCGTAGGTACTTACGTATTGATTTCCATACCTCTTGAATTGAGTTTTTAAAGGGCAACTTGAAAAATGAAACTGAAGTTTATGTGCAGTGCACCCACCGAGATGATATTTGAGTCGTACAGCTAATTAATCGGGCATTCGATATCATCCTATTCTATTCTTCATCAGGAGTATACTATTCAATCAATTAGATTATTTTATCAATCCTTGTCTTACTGTTTCTGTTGGGCTTGTTAAGTTTTATTTTTATCGTTGAACGCTTATAAGTATCAATTTCTAGTTTATCTAATTCAGCGAAGGTTAAAGCATAAAGGTCTTTACGATAAAGAATATAACCAATAAATCAGTAGTTTTTAAGACATTTACACAATGGGATCTTGTTGCAGTTGCTTATGTTCACGCAATAGAGATTCAAAATATCCGCCGCTTTTGTTAGCTGAAAATGAAAGGGAAGCAATTTCGGCGCTATTACAGTATTTGGAGAACCGGTCAGATGTGGATTTTTTCAGTAATGGGCCATTAAGAGCACTCAGCACTCTAGTATATTCGGAAAATATTGACTTACAAAGAAGTGCTGCGTTGGCGTTTGCAGAAATCACCGAGAAGGATGTTAGAGAAGTGAACCGGGATGTCCTTGAGCCTATTTTAATTCTTTTACAAAGTGCAGACTCCGAAGTTCAAAGGGCTGCCTGTGGTGCCTTGGGTAATTTGGCCGTGAATAACGAAAACAAAATATTGATTGTCGAAATGGGTGGATTGGAACCATTGATAAGACAAATGATGTCCACTAATATTGAAGTACAGTGCAATGCAGTTGGATGCATAACTAATTTAGCAACACAAGACGACAACAAGACTAAGATAGCAAAAAGTGGAGCCTTAATTCCATTGGCTAAGTTGGCTAAATCAAAAGATATCAGAGTTCAACGTAATGCCACTGGCGCTTTATTGAACATGACCCATTCAGGGGAGAATAGGCAAGAGTTAGTCAATGCTGGAGCAGTTCCTGTATTGGTCTCGCTCTTGTCTAATGAGGATGCTGATGTCCAGTATTATTGTACTACGGCTTTATCTAATATTGCTGTTGATGAAATGAACCGT